AGAGAGAACAGTGGGTCTCACATTCTTTCCATTGGCCACCAGGTGGCAGCACCAGCTCTGCATCAAGGCTGGGTGGGGAGTGCACAGGATGGAGAGAGAAGGTATTTATGTGAGGCAGCCAGGCTCCTGGACCTGCTCTAGAAGTGTGTTTGGGAATTAATGGTGCTGTTGAACAAACTACCCAAAAACGTAGTGAGGTAAACAATCATTTAACTATGCTTATGAATTCTGTAGGTCCCAAATTTGGAAAGGGCACAGGAGGGCCTGCTTGTCTCTGTTCCACCTATCTGGAACATCAGTGGGAAAGGCTCAGGGTTGGGGGTGACTCAACAGCTGGCAGCTGGAATCATCTGGAGGTGTCTTCACTCACGTGTGTGCTGACTGGTGCTGGGTGTCAGCTGGGACCTCAGCTAGGTGGTCAACAGGAATATCCACATAGAGTCTCTCCATGTGGTTCCTCCATGTGAGCTTGGGCTTCCTGACAGCATGGCAGCTTGGCTCAAGGATGAATGTTTCCACCCAGCTTCAAGGGGAGAGAACATGGACCTTCACTGGATGGGAGGAATGTCAAGGTCTCTATAGTAATTTGTTAGGGCTACCATAACAATATACCACAGACTGAGCGGCTTAAACAATAAAAATGTATTTCCCAGTGTTCTGGAGGCTAAAAGTCCAAAATCAAGGTGTCAGTAGGTTTGGTTTTTCCTGAGGCCTCTCTTCTTAGCTTGCAGATGGTGGCCTTCTTGTTCTGTTCTCACCTGGTCTTCCCTCTGTGTGCCCATCCCTGGGTCTTTGTGTGTCCAAATTTCCTCTTCTTATAAGCACACCAGTCAGACTGGATCACATTAATAGCCTCATCTTAACTTAATTACCTTTACTTTTATTTTTTATTTTTATTACTTTTTATTTTTTGAAAGATTTTATTATTTGTTTGTTTGTTTATTTATTTATGAGAGAGAGAGAGAGAGAGAGGCAGAGACACAGGCAGAGGGAGAAGCAGGCTCCATTCAGGGAGCCCGATGTGGGACTCAATCCTGGGACTCCAGGATCAATCCCTGGGCCAAAGGCAGGTGCTAAACTACTGAGCCACCCAGGGATTCCTAATCACCTTTTTAAAGACCTTCTTTCCACATCCTAAAGTACTAGGGTTACGGCTTCAAAATATGAATTGGAGGGACTCAATTCAGCCCACAACAGCCACACTGTCAGAAGAGCATACGGGATGAAAGAGAGTCCTGTAGCCATTTTGGGAAAACACAATCTGCATGCCTCCCCTCCTCCAGTTAATCCAACGGCATTACAGTTTGTTAAGCCCATTGGACTCATCCTAGCCCCATGCCTTTGAACATGTTGTTCCATCTGCCTGGGATGCCTTCACCTGCCCTGCTCTAATAGACCACTCTCATTCACCTGTCTAGAGCTCAATGCTCATCCAGAGCATTCCTGACCTCTGTCCCTGGCCATCACTGACCATCATTCCATTCACCATCACCCTTGCCACACTGGCCACAATCACTGCCATTCATGGACCACTTCTTTGTGCCAAGCTAAGTTCTACTGATCTCACTTAATTCTTAGAACCACCCGTGAGGTCAGTTCTCCAGATGAAGAGGCCAAAATGAGGAAGTTACTAGCCCAGAGCTATGAACAAGCAAATGGCAAAGTCAAGACTTGAACTCAGGTCTGCCTGTTCCAGAACCTGTGTTTGCCACCTTTTGCCCTACTGGGCCTCTGTTGGCCTCCTCTGTGCTGCCCTCACCCTGGCTCAACCCTCCTATCAAAGCAACAGTCCCCTGCAATAATTTGGACAGCAGCAGTTCTGGTCCCACCTGCTGGCCTTACCTGCTTATGATCTGGCTGCTCCAGGGAAGGTCTCACTTGAGTTTGTGAGCAGGGGCTGAAAGCCCAGCGTGTCTTGCAAATGACATTGTCTGTTCTGTTGCAATGTGATCACATTAACGGTCCCCCATGAACCACACTTCTCAATATCCATGCTTTTGTTGGTCCCCTCCCACAGGGACTTGGGAGTTGTCTGAGTAACTTGCTGTGGCCCCTGGGACATCATCAGCAAAGGTGATGCAAACAGGAGCTCCACAGGCAGGTGTGCACAAGCCTGGCTCTCTTGGAACCCTGCTACCTGGTGCACAGAACCAGAGCTGACCCAAGGATGAGTGATCACGGACAGAGAATGACCCAGCCATGGACCTGTCTCAGGAATCCCCGCAAGGGCCTGGATTTCCCATGGTCCTGAGCCAGTGCACAGGCTTTTGTCCCACGTTTGCCCTCTCAGCTGACCTCAATCTCAGGGATTGCCTTTCCTTGCCCAAGTTCACACCACTTGTGAGTGGAGGACCCAGAATTCCGACCGAGATCTGTCCATCTAGAAGGCTACAACAGCATGATAATAATAATAATTAATAACCAAATAGAATAATAAGATAAATAAAATAGTAAATATAATAATAAATGTATTATTATTATTATTATTATTTATTATTATTATTTTACCTTTTCTCTATCATCCTCCACTTAATATCAAGGACTTTATAGATTTTTAACTTTATTTGATATATGTTTATCACTGTATTCTTTTTTCAGGATAGCATACTATTCTTTCATTAGAATGGCCAGTGTTGCATGTTTGCAGCCCAGCTGTTTATTTATTATGTTAATAGGGCATTCTTCCTGTTTTCTTTCTTCTTTAGTTCCTTTGCTCACGCTTGCTCTGTGCAAGTCCACAGAAGGTATGAGCCAGGATTCAAACATCCCGTCTCATAACATTGCTGTAGTCAGGCAGCATGGTACAGTTTCCCAAAAATGTTACAAATAACTTTTATTTTGCAAACATCATGAAGGGAATACAGACACACAATTGCTGGAAACACTTACTCAAACCCTCATTTCTCCACCCTCCGTTCCCCACACACCTCCAGGCTTCCTGATCTGCCCAGCTCCTCTGTCCCTCTTGACAAATTCTTTCTTGTCCTTCTTCCACACTTTCCTCCAGCCTCCGCAGTTCCATATCCCTCTCCCCACTTTCTGGATTCTAAGACCTTGCAAGACTTGCTTAATTACTTTTTGACAACATGACACTAAAAATGTCTATGATTTTCTGCATTTAAAAATCCAACAGATCTTCATACAGGTCATGCTACTAGTAAGAGAGCTCTTCGGGGCTGTGAGATATAGTATCACTAAACAGACATGAGTGATACAAATCAATGCTGCTGCTATAAACCAGCAACAAACAACTAGAAAATATCCTCTTAAAAAAGATGCCATTTACAATAGCAATAAAACCTAAGAGGTGTCTCAGAATAAAAAAAAAACCTGCATAAGCTCTTTGTGGAGAAAATTAGGAAACTATAATGCCAGATGGTGAAGAAGAACTAAATGTTTCATACTTTAATAAAATAAAAGGTATACACACAAAATAAAAAGAATACACAAAATCCATATGAAAAAGATGTATATCCCTGTCAAACCAGGTAAATGATATGAATGGGGAATGCTCAGAAGAAATACAAATGACCAGAAATCAAAGAAGTATTCATTAAAACCACAATGAAATATAATTTCCTGAACACTAGAAAAAGATTTTAAAGTTGTAGATATGCAGGATGACTATCAAAGTGTGGAAAATGGGTAGATACCTATAGAAAGAGTGTAAATTGGTATCATTTTGGACAGTAATTTTATAATATCTGTCAACATTTAAAATATCCTGTGGTCCAAAAAAAAAAGAATACATCCTTTGGTCTAGCAATTTTGCTTACAGAGTAAATCCTTTCCAAATACGCCTGTGCTATGTGCAAGGATATTTACTGCAGCATTATTTGTAACAGAATAAATTTAGAAACAGATCTATTCAAATGCCATCAGAAGTAGGCTAAATAAATAAACAAATCATGAAACATCATGGAATACTACTCAAATGTTTGAATGAATGAGTTTTACCTCACAAAAAAAATGTGCAGGAAATATATGAATAAAACTTCTGAAGTCTGTTGTGAACATGAAGACCTGAATAAAGGAAAAAGGCACTTTTCCATTTGGGGCTAGAAGATTCAATAAAGAAAAGATCCCATCTTTCAATGTTTAATCCATTATTTTAATGGGATGCAAACAAATATTCCAACAGGATTATTCTAGAACTTCACTGATTCCAAGGAGCACGCAGGAATATGAAAAAATAAGTCATTAAAAAAAAAAGAAAGAGAGAGAACTCCGGAGAGACAGACTCTGCTGCATTTTAAAGTGTGTAACAAAGTGAGAGTAATAGTTCATTATGAATTCAGAAATAGGCAGAGAGATGAATAGAGCAGATGAGTGAGTCTGGAACTAGACCAAAAAATATAAGGTCATTTAATAAATAATAAAGGTGGCATTTAAATCAGTGGAGAAAAGATGGATTACTTAATAAATACTGTTGGTACAACTGGCTGGTTATCTGAAAAGTAATTCAGCTGGAGCTCTACCATAAACCTATATCAACATGAATTCCAATTGGATAAATAAATCATGATACAGGCATCAGTAAAACACTACAGAACAATGGGCATGAATACAGAATCACATGTAACAGGGATAGATCTTAAAGACCACGTTTAGGGATGCAGAATTGGGTGGTAAAACTATGAAGAACACCAAAAGGAATACTCTAGGAATTTGTACAGTGCTTTCTTACCAGGGCAACGGAGCAGATTTTTTTATATAAATTTATTTTTTATTGGTGCTCAATTTGCCAACATATAGAATAACACCCAGTGCTCATCCCATCAAGTGCCCCCCTCAGTGCCCGCCACCCAGTCACCCCCACCCCCCGCCCACCTCCCCTTCCACCACCCCTAGTTCGTTTCCCAGAGTTAGGAGTCTCTCATGTTCTGTCTCCCTTTCTGATATTTCCCATTCATTTTTTCTCTTTTCCCCTTTATTCCTTTTCACTATTTTTTATATTCCCCAAATGAATGAGACCATATAATGTTTGTAAAGCAGCAGATTTTAATCAGGAAAGATGATAGTGGGGGTTTCTGGGGAGGGAACACAGAAAAGCAGTATTTAGTTTCTTGACCACCGTGATTACACAGGCTCATTTTATAACAAGTTACTAGGTTGTACACTTAAATTTTATGCCATTATTTACATTACTCTTTTTACAAGAAAGATTTAAAAGAGGGGTGCCTGGATGGCTCATTTAAGCATTCAGACTCTTGGTTTCAGCTCCCGGCGTAATCTCCTGGAACTCCAAGCACAGCACCGTTGTGGACTCTGCGCTCAGCATAGAGTCCGCTTCAGATTCTCTCTCCCTCCCACTCCCTCCCTCCCTTTCTCTCTCTCTGTCAAATAAGTAAAGAAAATCTTTCTAAATAAAAGGTTTAAAAGAATTAAGTTTACGGAAAGAAAACATAAGATTTTTATTATCTCAGAGTAAGGCTTTTCTAAGTATGAGATAAAACTCAAAAAGCAATTTTAAAAGATTGCTTGATTTGAGACCATAAAGAATTCTGCATGAAAAAAACACCCAACAAAGTCAAATGACAAACACCCATTACAGGAAAATGGTTGTAATTCTTCTCACATTTCTTACTATAAAAGAACAAAGGACTGGAGGGTGGTTTTTCAGAATCTTGTGAATGCCTTATCCATAAGACATAAGAACAAAGAAAAAAAAAGAATGTAGAAGTTCTCTTTATATTGATGTGGTGTGATCTCCAAGACATGTTATACTGTGCATGGTCTGCTACTATTTGTGGAAATAGCATATATCTAGGTCATGGATATGCTGATCACACTCTCATGGAGTTATCATGTTTGTGACAGACGCATATGCACATACATTTTTCAAAGATGAGAAGCCACTCCATATGCAGTGAGGTTGCATAATATCTAAGACATATTGCTACAGAACAAACAAAAAAAGGCTAGATGAGAGTACTATGACTCTAATTTTTTAAATGGGAAACTTCAAACACATGCAAAAGCAAGAGACAGAGGTATAATGAACCCCTGTGTACCTATTCCTCCCCACCTAACAGTTGGCAACTTTTCCTCTGTACCTCCCTCCCACTCCCCTCCACCCCACTTGATTACTCTGGAGCAAATCCCAGACACATCATTTCATCTGCAAATACTTCAGTATGTACCTCGATAAGCCTCCCCACCCCTCTCTTGGCATAACAAGTACATCGGAAAATAAAAACTTATCAATAATTCTCATATCATCAAATATCCAATGGTCACATTTCCCAGATTTTTTTCAGAAGTTTATTTTGTTTAACAGTTGATTCATTACAATCAGGATCTGAACAAGGTCCAAACTTCGTATCTGTTTTTAGTTTCAAGTGTCTTTTAATTCACGGGTCTTCCTTTTACCCCCTTTGCAGTTTACTTGTTGGGGCAGGAGGAAAGTTAATTTATAGGTTTCCCCACCCAGCCTCTTTTTTCCCCCTTCTTTGCAATTTATTTGGTGGAATAAAAAAAAGAAGCAGCAGCTTGTTTGTCCTGGAGAGTTCTCTGAATTCCGGATTTTGCTGATTGCATCCCCATGGTGTTAGCATGTTTGTGACCAATTTTACTTACTTGCCCCCTTCAGGTCCTCCTTCCACTCTTCTCCACGCTGGTCTTTGCTCCTGGAGGTTGACCCACATAGATGGCATCTCCAGGTTCCATCACCCTCTGGCTCCAGGGTCTGGCCAATAGGGAGCCCCGGGGGGGAGTGGGAAGGAGGGAAAAGAGTGAAGTCAGAGTCATCAGTTCCCTGGCCCCCTACCTGCAAGGCCACATTGGGTTGGCTGTGCTTCTTGGCCGAAGGTAACTGTTCCTCTCAAGACACAACTCCCTCCCTTTCCAGGTTCTGGTAATTCTTCTTTCTTCTGGGGAAGGCTTCTCTGCCTCTCATTCCATTAATTCTTTCCACACTGCCTTCACCTGGATAAATAACCCCGCTTGGAATTTCCCTAATCAGCGTTCACCATCTGCTTCCTGTTGGGACCTTAATTTATACAATGCTTCTCTGCTCCGAGTATTTCCAGGAAACTGGCAGTCAAATCTGGGGACCTGACTAGATTCAGATTAAAAATTTTTTGTAAGAGTACTTCATGGATGGTGTTCAAGATGTTATATTGCATCACGTCAGAAGGCACATAATATCCGTCCATTATAAAGATACCTTCAGCTTTTCACCCAATGGGTTTTAGCAGGGGTCGGTGATCATGGCCTCTTGCCATTGTCAAGAGTTAGACAATGATGGAATTCTATCATTCTTTCTTCATAGATTAGCTAGAAGTCTTCCATAAAGAAGAATTCTCTTACCATTTGTTTACCATGGGATGCAGTTGGTACAAGAAAGGCTGAATCAATGCTCACTTCTTTCATTTTATATCATTTGCAGAATTGTGAGCTGGTTTCTCCAAAGGCAACCAATGATGAATTCATGGATTTTCATATCTGATGTGCTTGAACCCTTAATTTTTTAATTTCTTCTTTTTTAAGATTTTATTTGAGAGACGGGGGGGGGGTGGGGAGAATGAGCAGGGAGGGCGGCAGAGGGAGAGGGAGCAGCAGACTCTTTGTCGAGCTGGAAGGCTGACCCTGGGCTTGATCCCAGGACGCCGGATCACGACCGGAGCCAAAGGCAGATGCCTAATCGACTGAGTCACCAGGTGCCCCCATTTTTGTTCTTTCTGAGGCTCCAATGATCTCATTCCTCAGCCAGTGGGAGCCACTTCAAGTTGGCTCCTTCTTTCAATATGATCCCAGGAGTCTTTGGGAGTTTTTGATAGTTTCCTTGCTTTCTGATGCAACAGTAGGTAGGCCAGGTTCATCTTTCCTGCCCCAGAGATGGAAGCAGCCATTTCTCCAAAGAGCCCTGGTTCCTTTTAATGAGAACTGGTTAATAAAAAGCCACACTAGGGGTGTTCCTTGATACTGGGATATTCATTATTTCCAGATCATATTTCAGCTAAGAAATTAATACCTTTAGAGAGAAAATACATCATGTGCTCATACTGATACTTATGATTCAAATTTAGGATTGCAGAACTTTTAATTTTTGGTTTTATATGTATACATATATATTTTTTATTTGGACAAAGAAATAGCACACGGTGGGGGAGGGGCGTGGTGAGGAGCAGAGGGAGTGGGAAAGATAATCTTAAGCAGGCTCCATGCCCAGCACAGAGCTGATGCACAGATCTCACTACCCTGGCATGACCTAAGCCAAAATCAAGGGTTGGACGTGTAACTGAGCCACTTAGGCACCACTGATTTTATATTTTTATATCTTGTCTCTTATGCTGGAAATCCTGGTTTCTAGCAACATTAACAGAATTATTTGCATGTATATATATACATTTATATCTTCAGAATAGCCATTACCAATGCCCTAATTGCTGAAACAGCAAGATGTTTTTACAGTCCTTTTTTGTTCTTAGACTATATCCCACGAAAGATGTACATTCAACTACTGGTTTTTTTCCTCACTATTGTGAAAAAAAGTCACTTAAAACAATATCACCTTATTAAAGTCACCTCATTCAAGACTTAAAATAAGACCTCTGTGTAAGCAAGCTACCAACCTGATAATTAGGTTCACTTCTTTCACTTTGCTTTTGATTTTTAAGGATTGTGCTCTCACTTTGAGTAAAACTTCGTTTTATAATTGCAAATAACATACATACAATTCCAAAGCCAAATGCACAATTTTGTACATTGTATTGTGTATTGTTAAAGTCATAGTCACAGGAGAAAGAAGAAGAGGTAAATTGCAAAGCTCCTCTGGCCAATACAGACAATGGACAAAGGGCTATACCTTTATTTTTAAAACAGAAATGTAAATGAAATGTTATTACTTGGGCAATATATAATTAAGCAAAGCTACCGATTAAAATTTTTAATTTTAAAGATATCACTTTTTTAAAAGATTTCTTTTTTCTTATAACACATGATTATATTTCTGTAAGACCCAGACAACTTTAAAGAGTCTTCTGTTACAGGGGTGTCTGGGTGGCTCAATCAGGCATCCAACTCTTGGTTTTGGCTCAGGTCATAACCTCATGGTTATGAGATCCAGCCCCAAGTCAGGCTCTGGGCTCAGCGCACGGAGTCTGCTTGAAATTCTCTCTCCCTCTGCCTCTCCTGCTCATGCTTTCTCTCTCTTTCGAATAAATAAATCTTTTTAAAAAAAAGTCCTTTGTTACAAATAACACTTGCAGCTAAAATCAGAGCAGGATGAGAATCCCATATTTTAAGGGAACAGGCTTTTTTTTTTTTTTAAGATTTATTTATTCATGAGAGAGAGAGAGGCAGAGACATAGGCAGAGAGAAAAGTCTCCCCACAGGGAGTCCGATGTGGGACTGGATCCTGGATCCCGGGAACACACCCTGAGCCGAAGGTAGATGCTCAACTGCTGAATCACCCAGGCATCCCAGGAATAGGCTCTTTGAAACAGCTTTCTGCTGCTCTCCAGAGAGTGTCTGCTTTTCCAAATTTTCAGGGTAAGAGGGAACACTTCCTCCTTTTCTGAGATTCTCTTCACTAGAAATTGCCACTAAGGAGGCTCTCTATTCTCAAGGCCAAGCCCTGGAATCCTGATAGCAGCAAGTGAAAAGAGCAGGCCTGGGAACTCAGAATGAGGAAAATAAAAGCACATTTATTGAAAACTCGCCTGACTGCTCTCAGAGCTCACAAGGGGTAGAACTTCACCTTCATCTTCCCCAGCCACCCCCTCCTATTCTCATCTTCTTCACCCAAGCAGGCTCTTCTAGAAGCTCTTTTGATTTTGGTCCTTCCCTCAGAATTGGCCCCAAATTCAAAGAACCTTTGGGATGTTTTGCATTCCATGTCTTCTTTGGTGTACCCCCAAAGTGGGGGCACCACTTTGAGGCACCAAAGGGTCTGTTTGTTCATCCTGTTTCCAGAACCCATGGCTTGGCACACACACAGAGGATGTCAGGATTAACTGGGTATAGTTGGCAGGTCCCCAAATTTCCCAGTGTTCCTCAATGATCTTGTAAGAAATTCCCTATAGTCAGAATGTGGGGAAAGCTGTCAAGAAGAGGGCAGATCTACCTCCTCCTTGGGGGCCTTTGTAAATTTTCTGGTCAGTTTTATTCAGATTCTTATTTGTATATTTTAAGCAATTGGGTGTACCTCCTCACAATGGCGGAGACATGCCTATGACAAAGGCCGACAGAATCTATCGACAAAAGGACTTCCTTAGTTCATACTCTCGGAACGTCCTTTACTATGAACAGTGACCAGGGCATGGATATTGCTGATCCAATTATAAACCCTTCTAGATTTAACAATACTTCTATGAAACCCAGTCCAAAGTACTGCTGGTGTCCTGAGCTAGCGAATGATCAGCAAGTAAACTCCTCCTCCCACAACTAAAGTTAGAGTTCGCAGAATTTTGTCTAGACTGAGAAAATACCCATCAACTTGACTCCCAGGCAATCTCCAGATGGTTGCCCAGTCTGGGAAAGGGCTGGCAGGATCCGATATAGCCCACTCCCAGCCAGGTTTTCATCGAAATGTTACGCAGGCTAGAAAAAGCCAAGGAGGTGAATTCATCTTCCAGACAATTCTTTTCCAATTTGCAGCAAGGCTCCAGGGAGAACCCACTGCATTTCCTCTGGAAGGTTTCCAAAAGGCTGTTTGGCTAGGCAAACGTCAGAGGGAAGCCCCTCCCCCATCCTGTTAGTATGAGGAGAATGTGCCAGAACTAATGCCAAGAAAATGTCCTCCCACTCCCACGTTCTTGACCAGAAAGAATCAATGTGCAGGTAAAAGATGATCTTTTTAGATTTCTCCAAAAGACTACTGACCAAATTTTAAAAATTAAAAATGTGTTATGGGGTTTGTGACAGTAAAGCACATACCAATAGCAAATCCCCAAAGTGAAAAATGGAGTTATATGTGGCAACATTCTTACGTTGTATGTGAAGTATTACAGAATCCATACAATAAATGAAGGATGCATAATGTAACTTCTAGAGCAATCACCAAAAAAAAAAATTACATAAAGATATAACTAGTTAGAGGAGGTAACACAGAATGCTAAGAAATCACACACAGCTAAATGACTTGCTTTGGCCAATGAAATCAGAGCACATGTGTTGTGTCATTTCTGGGTGAAAGCATCTGGAGCCAGGACTCGACTCCTGTCAGGTCAGTCCTGGTACATTCCATTTTCCTAAAAAATGACAAATTTTATCTATATTTTCAAATGTATTTGCAAGGAACTGTAGAAAGTAATGATTTTTCTTGTTTTAGTAATTCCTTATTATTTCATGTATTTGTTCTTTCCCTATTCTTTCTAGTAGTTTTAAACTGTTGTTGGCCTTTTTCTAGCAGGTTTCTTAAATTTTTTTTTCAAATAAGTTTATTCTACCGTTTTTGTTTTTTCATAATTCAATTTCTTTGGTCAACTTTCTACTATTAAATTACACAGAGTGCTGTCAGAAAGTCTGATGACATCTAGTTTTTCTTGATACTGTAAGCCATTGTGTCTTTTTGCCTAGAAGCCCAGAGGATTTATTTGCCTAGGATCTTCTTAGAGTTGACACTTCTGAGTCTCTCTTCCCACGTGCATACACAGTGTCTCTTTCCGTATTTGTATTCAGAGCATTTTCTCTCTCGGAGGAAAGTATTACCAAATTACCACTGAAATATGAATTTTTATTCCATTGTTTTTTTTCCTTTACAATATAAAATTCAATATACTGAATTTTCAACTATGTCCAACTTGATTAGATTTCTTTTGCCTCTTCTTCCTTATCTGGAACTTTCTCTTATTTTCTTTCACTTCGTTTTTCCTCTTTTTCTTTCCAGGTGACTCTATCTCCCCTTTGTGCATCTTGGATTTAGATTTCTGAGATCATTTTTCTTTTATATTCAGTTTCTTTTCCTGGGTCCTCTCAGTTCTCATTTCACATCTGCTTGGTCATTTCTACTCGAAGATTTTCATTTGTTTTGTGGTGTCCTCACAACTGCATTTGCTTGTCTAATTATTTTGTGTTGGAATGCTGCATTACAATTTTTTTCTGGCTTTTATCCCTCTGTATTTTCTGCTAACAAGTTTGACTTTGAATTTTCTGATTTTAGTTTTATCTTGCAATATCCCCTTTAGAATGCTGTTTTTATTACTCTTCATATTTAGGCATGTTAGGTTTACCTGAGCACCTATTAGCAGGATATAGGTGAGGAGCAGGGCAGGGAGAGTATTTTAGTTGGTCTCTAAGTCTCTCTAAGCTCCCCCTCCTGGTGCTGCAGTGAGATAGATTCTCCAGTATTTAGCACCTTTGGGTGGTCCAGCTTCCTGTGATCTTCTGTTGCTGTAATAAACCTCCAGGTGCCAGCCCCTTCCATGCTTCCCCATACACCACCTCGGACTGCCTAGGGCCTCTCTTATCCCCAGAAGCCTGGCCTCTCCAGGACCTTCAGCTCTGGTCCTGTGCACTTCCCAAACCCCACCTCCCTATCCTTCATTGCCAATGCCAGCTTGCCCCATGATAGATGTTGGTTGTTATCTTGGTCCTGCCATTGCTAGGACTCCTCCATCTTGTAGGCAAGTTCTCTGCTTCTTTATGGCTTAAAAATTTCCTACCCATACCCAGATTCCTTCCCAGACTCGACCTGGACATTTGCGTATATAACAAATGACCACAAACACAGTACCTAAAGCAACAGAAATTTACTCACAGTCCTGGATACCAAATCAAGGTATCATCTGGATCACACTCCCCCCATGAAGGCTCTAGGGGAGAATCCTTCCTTGCCTCTTCTAGCTTCTGGTGGCTCCTGGCATTCCCTGGCTTGTGGCTGCCTTACTCCAGCCTCTGCCTCTCCATTGCTTTCTTTCCTGTGTCATTTATTTTATAAGGATACCAGCCATTGGATTGAGGGCCCACCCTACCAGGCTGATCTCACGTCCAGATCCTTAATTCCATTTACAAAGAACCCATTTCCTAATAAGGTCACATTTAGAGACACTGGGTTACCACCCGGACATATCATCTCAGGACACAATTCAACCCACCGCATCACCTTGACTTTCCCTATAGCATAGACTCACCCTGCCCTCATGGTGACTTTGGTCAGTAAAAATGTGTGCTATGGGAAATGGCTTCTGGGCCTCTGGAACGATTGGATTTCACAGGGCTCCCTGGGCCTAGGAAAGGAAGAGGAGCTCTGGTGGACATGGGGCACAAGGGAAGAGTACCTGGGTCTTAGTGGATGCTCACAGACATAAGCGGAATTGGGGGAATAGACATGTCATGGAAGGAAGGGAACAGAAAGAGAAAACAAGGAGGTCAGTCTGCCTGTGGGACTTCCCAGGGCTCAGGAGTCCCTGTCCATCCCTAGGGCTCATCTCAGCCTGAAAGCTCTGGTTTCCCTCAGTGCGTACTGTGGTTACCACTCCAGCCACGATTTTTGTATTTATTTCTGATTTCTATCATTTCCTATTGATAGCTAGAATTTTCTCTTTCGGGTTCAGTATTATAACTTTTTGTATAGTTATACTTTAACTTTTTGCCTAGCTTTGTAGCAGGTTGGGGGCAGGGGGTCTTCTAAATCAGAAATCTGCCAAGTTGGTAGAAATCCTTAGGTGATTTCATTATATCATTAATCCTCCTACAGGATAAAAGTGATGGTCATTCTCATTTTCTAAATGAAAGAATCACTATCTGCCACATTATTCTCCTAGTTTCATATTTTTATTTTTCCCTGTTTAACACGAAGTTGATGACATTTTTATTTGTAACCTAAAGTTTTTGCTGGAATAATGCTAGTTGCTATAGTAGATAAGGCCTGAGAGCTCTGCAGCTTAACACAGAGTTTACTTCCTCACAAGGGAAGAATTTGCAGGGCCGCTGCTCCAGGCAGTCACTTAGGGACTTGGTTCCTTCCACTTTGTGACTCTGCACTCCTCTGGGCCTTAGATGGCTCTCCATTCAGCCCACAGTCAGGGAAGGAGGAAGAGGGCTCTTAGGCGAGGTTTACTGAAGCCAGCCCTGGAAACGACGGGCGTCCTTCTGCCCATATTCCACCAGCCAAACTCAGATGGCCCTGATAACAACCACAAGGGAGGCTGGGAAATGTAGTGCAGCCATGGGCCCAGAAGGAAAAGAGAATGTACTCTGTACACAGCCAGGCTCTGCCTACACCTCTGAATCCTCTGGCACCCTCTCATTCTCTAATTTTCTTGTGACAATCTAATGGCAAAGTTCTATTAAGGATAGATGTCACTTTATTCACTTAATCCCTTAGGTAGGCATAAATAATCTTTGCATGTTACATTTGTCTAAATCTCCATTTCTTGGTTTAGCCTTGTCTGCACATCTCTGAACACTTAACTACACTCTTATGCCACTTCCTTTTATTTTTACCTGCTCTGTTCCTTTGGCAAAACTGCTTATTTCCAGAGATGCCACCAGGAGGCAGAGGCAGCATAAGCAGGCAACAGTCAGGGTACCCCTACCACCATCTTAGCCAGCGGCGGGGGGGGGGGGGGCTCAATCACTCTTTGTGGCTGCCCAACTTTGAGAGCTGCCCTAACTCAAATCCAGAGCTAGTTGGTCCTAGAGACACAGGACAGTCCCTTCCTCAGGCTATCTCCTCCTGCCACAAGAGCCTGAAGCTGGGATACAGGAGTCTGTTCCTTCACAGCCGCCCCCAGAACATTCAGCTGCATGCAGTCATGGCCCACCTATCCAGGAACATCAGATGCCTCAATGAATAGGGCTCCCCGGTTGAGAGGAAGTCCTCAGCGTGGACTCTTGATCTGTTCCTCTCAACAGAGTAGACAATCAGACTATTCTCAAATGTTCTCTGGTCATAGATTTAGTCATCCATTAAAAATCCTGTGAGCCCTCAGCACCCTCCCGGTCCAGCACTCAGCTGTAGATACTCTACACTGAATGGAACACTTCTTGCTCTTCGGAACACTTCAGTTTAAGGCAACAGTCCTGGGGGAGAAACAAAGCCCAGGCTTGTGGTGAGTGTTCTGCTGGTGGTCTGTGCAAGGCTGAGGGAATGCACGGATGGCATATGCCTGCTCGGCATGCTGGGGAGAGAGGGGCAGCTTCCTTCAGAAGAGCCACGGTAACCCGTAAGGCGGCTGTGAAAGGTCACGGTATGCTTAATGTGAGGAGTGAGAGATGCAACTGGAGAGCCCAAGCCCCTCAGCCTGCCCTTCACTGCAGCCCCACACCTCCTCAGTTCCGGTAGGCCCAGCTTAAACATGTCTGGGCTTACCTGCCCACCCAGGGGCCTCGCCACCAGGGCTCGGCCTCCCTGGCCACGCTGATTTCACTATGTCGCTCAGGCTGTTAAAACTGTTGACAATGGGAGAGGGATCTCCAGGCCTACCAGCAGTCAGTGTGCTCCTCTTCCTGGGAACAGCATATGAAAACCTCCCTCATGTGGAGGTTGGTCCTGCCTTCTTCTTGGCAACTATTCTTTTTTCATAACAGCACATGCCTATCAAAGTCTCCTCAGTACCTGGGCCCTGCTATACACGGCCAGTGGCTCACTGGCAATCCTCTGGGAGACCCTGGGTTGGCTTGAGTCTTCTACCTTCTGCACCACCACTGCCCACTCCAAGCTTTTAGTTTCTAACCCGAGGGCTGCAGATCCAGGTGATCGCCCCTGGTACACTGCATGAGCCAACAGGTCCTGAGGGGGCCTCATCAGAAGGATGGGCTAGAGGCTCCATGGGATTTAAATGGACAGATTCTGGGACAGACACTAGCGTCTCAGGGGCCTCTGGACATAAGCATTCAATTACCAGGAATGTTTCTGTTAAAATTCACACTGAGCAATCTCTATAAAAGAGAGGGGTCATTTGTCCATTTAAGATGATGCTGCAAGGGCACAGGGAATATAAGATTATGGCAACACTGAGGCAGCTACAGAATTCACCTTTTCCAGACTTGTTTCGTTCTTCTGAAAGGCCCAAGAAAGTTAAGCAGCCAACAAACTTGTGGACATTGAAAGAAAAATCTGTAGGAAGGCCTCATGTGGTGGAAAAGTTTCCAGCATAGAAAGTATGAACAAAAATTGGGCAAAGGCCTCATTTCTGCCCATTCAGAAGTGGACCCACGCAGGTCCCTGATGGAGAAACTCTGCCGTTTGGTCACCTTCTCTAGGCCCTTTCTACCTAGTTTAAGAGGAAATGATAGAAGGAAAACATTCCCAGCTCCTGAGATTTGGTGGGCAACTGCTTTTGTCACACTAACACTACCTTTTGTTTATACACCTGTGAAAGTCCTCCATCTGCTGGGCAGTCACATGATTTCTGAATAAAGTCAGAAGAATATCTACACTGACAATATCCATTTTGAAGGATTCTTTTAAAGAACTTTTTAAACAAAGAATAAACTTTTTACGTTTTGTACCTTCTCTAGGCCCTTTCTACCTAGTTTAAGAGGAAATGATAGAAGGAAAACATTTCCAGCTCCTGAGATTTGGTGGGCAACTGCTTTTGTCACACTAACACTACCTTTTGTTTATACACCTGTGAAAGTCCTCCATCTGCTGGGCAGTCACATGATTTCTGAATAAAGTCAGAAGAATATCTACACTGACAATATCCATTTTGAAGGATTCTTTTAAAGAACTTTTTAAATAAAGAAATAAACTTTTTACGTTTTGTACATCCTTGTCCTACACTGTCTTCATTTACTGCTGCAGGAAGCTGATGCCACAGTTCGTCCTTGGTTCAGGAACAATACCAGAAAGCCATTTCAAGTCTCTTCACTGCAGGAACCCCCAAGTGAACACACTTCCAAAGGGAAACTCCCAGAGTCCCGTAACTATTCTCCCCAGGAGAAATCCACCTTGCTGCCCAGTGCTACCAGCTGGCTCAGGGCAGAGCCAGCTAGCACAGCCACCGTTCGTCACACTGGCCGAGGCCCCAGGTCCCAGAGGGCATCCACTATGCCTGCTCACCAGCACTGCCTCCACTGGCCCCCGAGCCTTTGCCGGGGGCCTGCGTGTCTGAGAAGCGGGAGGCCTGCTTGGGCAGACGGATGGGGACGTAGATGTTGGATGCACAGTGCTCCTTGAGGTACTCTCCTCCCTTCTCTTCATACTCTTTCCTGGTGATCCACACTTCATCGTTGTCCAGGTAGTCCAAGGCCCAGTCCCGAGCGCCATACCAGGCGTCCAGCACAGGGTTGGAGGCAAGCTGGACCTGAAACACAAACAGCACTCAGCAGAGGGCCATCTCCAACCCTAGGGCTCACGGAGTGACTATTTAGCAGGCCCAGCTGCAACCCCCTATGTGGTATCACCAGAAATACACACATGTGGGGGCCCTGGTGCCCAACTGCCCGCACCCTCCAAATACAGCTGGGTGGGGAAGCTGCAGACTCTACAAGAGAGCACACAAGAATGCAAAATGCAGCAGACTCGACCTCACACAATCAGCGGCTGCCAGCTAGTTCACCAACACCGGACCTGCCACAATGGGGCAACAAAGGCCCAGCTGCCCCTCCTGTTCCCACACTGTCAACCACAAACTGCCATAGCTGCCACATGGAGAAAGGAAGCAGAGCCAGCACTCCAGGTGGAGGAAAGGGTTTCTCACCCTGACACCCACTCTGTGAGCAGAGGGAAGCAGAGGCTGATACAAGGTGGTTCTGGCCGTGGTAGATAAGAGTCAGGAGTGAAAAGCAGAGAGGATGGCCCAGGCATTCTCCAGGACGCTGCCAGTGCTGTTTCCACTGCTTACTGTCAGAGTGAGGCCACAGTCAGCAGCCCTGTGGGAGCCCCTCAACTCAGCTGACCTGACCAGAACAGGAACATCCTCTGGAGCTCCAGTTAGGCTTCCTGTGTCGCCACCTGACTCCCCCCTCCTTCTTACCTCCCTCTCCAACCACAGGATTTCCAGGTTGGAATGGTAGTTTGAGAACTCTCTGAAGTAACAGGGAGGTGACATAAAGTAGAATCAGCATACACAGATGGAGGATGAAGCAGACAAACACAAAAGTCAGAAGATTGACTGGGCTGACATGGGACATACTTGTGATAAAAGAGCGTCAGTAAATTAGGGTCACAAGAGCCCTTATGCTCTGGCTGGAGCAGGAGAGAATGAGTGTGAGGCAGTGTGATACTCCTGGCACAGACTAAGTATTCAATAAATGGTAGCTAGCATTATTACCACTGAAAAACCAGTAAGATAATGGAATAAAATAATGAAATACTATACAGCCATACAAAAAAGGCTTTGGACACATACCTACTGGCATAGAAAAAAATTTTTGAAAAGTAAAACAAAAATACAGGTCACAAATAAGCCATCAACAATCTCTTTTTTTTTTTTTAAGCTAAAATCAGATACAAGAGAAGAAAATGAACAAAAAGTTTATATGTAACTCACAGTGGCTGAACTACAAGTGTTTTGATTTTTTTCTATCCTCATTTTGGCCTACTTAACTTGTCTGAGATTTTAGTAACATTTTTTAATGTTTTGCTGGGGGTTTTTTGTGCTTATGTTGAGATTATTCTTTGTTAACTTTTAAAACACTACTATAATTGAATATTAAAATGTTTTGCTGCTTAAATAAGAAACCAAGAGAAACTTAAAGTATGTTCAAGTACCATCTCAAGATCTTAAATGGCCCACACTTGAGCTGCTGAATACATAACCTAAATGTTGAGTGAGTATCAGGGGTTAATTCTGGCATGACGCATACTTATCACATCATAGCTGCAAAGGAGCAGCAAAAGTGGAAGCCACGGAAGCTGGGGCGGTGCCACACGAGGCTGAACCAGCTAAAGGACAGCAGCAAAGAGCAATCTGGCAGCATTCCTACAGCTAATGTTCACAAAGTAATTCACAGGAAGGGCTTTCGCGATGATCAAGCAATAGATCTTAAACATCCAATAATATGACGTGTTATGTCATCACAAGTCAAGTTTGCCAGCGCGCACCTGCACTCACTTTCTGTACCGTCACCACCCCCCCACACACAGGGTCTGGCCCTCCTCCTGCCTCTCTTCCTCAGCCTCCTTCATGGGTACCCCCACCCTCCCAAGACCTTAAATGCTGATGTTATGTAAGGCCTAATCATGGACATCTCTATCCTCCAAACGGTGCCCACTGACAACACAGTTTGTGCTGGGGGATCTGAGTCCACCCTTCTGCTTTCCTCTCTCCAGCACTCAGCAGCTGGCTATGAGTCATTGCTTCCTGGGCATCCCACTGGAAATCCAACTCAACCCGCCTCAGAAGTGGAACTCATTCTCCACCCACGAGCCTTCTCTTCATCTCCCATTTCCTAGTCTAAGGAATGCTGTATTTGTCCCACTAGTTGCAGGACAACCTAGAGCGTAGAAATGGTCTTGGGTCCCACACTTTTCTCCCTAAATCCAACCTGTTATTCAGTTCTTACAACTTCACTCCCCTAATCTCTACCACATCAACTCCTTCCTGTCCTCTCCCAAAACCTACTGCATATTTCCTGCATAGCCACCCAGTGGCACTGAACCAAGACCTGGGGCACCATACACAAGACAGTCTGTCCTCCCTAATAGAGGTGTGTAAGGAATACAGGGAAGGACAGGGAAGGCTTCTGGCAGATGTGACATCTAAGCCAGCCATGAGAGACATGAGTATCAAGCTGGGAAGAAGATTCCAGGCAAAGGGAACCAGCAGGTGCAAATGCCCTGAGGCAAGGAAACATGATATACTGGGGAACAAAGTACAGAGTGGAAGGGGAAGTGATGAGAGGTAATGCTGGAGTAATTCAAGGTCAGATCATAGGAGACGCTGCAACTGGTGGAATGAGGACTCCATCCTGAAACCTGGGAGCTGTGTCCTAACTGACCTCCTGCTTCTGATATTTCACATAGATACCTGATACCCTATTTTCCACAAGTCAAAAACAGCTTCCTAAAATTCAAACTAAACAAAATGATTCCCCTGCTTAGACTCCTTTATGGTGCCATGGGGCCTAACAGTAACAAGAGCTGTGTAGGAAAGAGTTAACCCGCAGGCCTAACTGCTCACGAGGCTGTCCTTGGCTGGCACACGCGAACTTGGATTTCAGGGGGGCTTCCATCCTGACTGGTAAGAGCAGCTCACTCTCCTGATGTTTGGACAAATAATGTAGTTTATGCTGAACACCAGCTTCCTTCTGTGAGTCTAGAATTTGGATATGTGCCAGGCAGGGGGTACCTAAATGATCAGCCCTCAATAAAAACCCTGGGCACTGAGTCTCTAATGAGCTTCCCTGATTGCTGACATTTCACATGTGTTGTCACGGCTCACTGCTATGTCCTGTGTGACTCCACTGGGTGAGGACTCCCAGAGCTCATTATCTGCTTTCCCCTGGACTTCACGCCATACACGTTTTCTCTACTGATTTTGCTTTGTCTCCTTTCAAGTCATAGCCATGAGCATGATTATATACAAGTATGATACGTGATTATGTAGTGTGTGTGTGTGTGTGTGTGTGTGTGTGTGTGTGTATGATTCCTGTGAGTCCTCCTAGCAAATCATGGAACCTGGGGTGGTCCTAGGTTCCTACTCTATACAACAGCTCACATCTTAAGTGTGCACTTTGTACAGGCCCTATGCTGAGCACTAGACCTGCACTAGCACAGTGAATCCTGGTCACAGGAGCTCTGATTATCCCTTTGCACCACTGTCAAAACAAAGGCCTGGCAAAATTCAGTAAGAGTGGTGATGGAGTCAGGACCAGAGCCCAAAGACCATGCTGTGAATGTGTAATAAATACATCATACAGCAGGAAACCAAGATCAACCTCAGCAGGATGTATGGGCCCTGCTGACCTCTCCACTGCACCCCCCTCCACTCCTCTTTAGCGGCCCTACGCTCCAGCCACACTCCACGGCACCTCAGTCCCTCAGCAGGCTTCTGGTCCCTGAACCTTTGCTCATGCTAGTCCCTCTCTGGAATGCTACCTCCATCCCACCCCACTCCACACTGTCTACATGGTACACACTTTCTCATCCTAGGGACTCAGGTCTGAACCCCTCCTGAACTCCAAGACAGGCAGATGCCCGTGCATGGATGTACATCATGTTCTGGGATATCACGGTCTATTTAATTGGCTGCTGCCCCTCAGGTAGTAAATTCCCTGCAGCTAAGGGCTGTGACTAGGCATCTTAACAGCTGCAAGATGCTGTCCTCTATGGGGGCTCAGACCATGTCTCCTAGTGATCAGAGATTTGGTAGATACACTATGGGGCATAAACACCATACAGGGAAAAAAAAAGTATTTTGAAAAAATAATGACATGGGAAAACGCTCATGGTGATTTAAGGAAATGCAGGTTACAGGCAGGTTACACTCATATACAAAGAATCTGCACAAGAGAAGCTTTGCCTGTAGAATGGGGGTGGGGGCGAAGAGAATGACTACTCTTCAGTGTGTACTCCTTGTAGTCCCCAAATTTTATTAGATGCATGTCTTTCTTCAGTTAAAAAACAACAGAGAAATACATAAAACATGATTCCCATTCTGCTTTAAAAATTCAACACATATCAAAGACCAGAAAAAACCCAAAAAATGTTAACAGTAGATATTTCTGGATGATGGAACTAAAAGTAATTTCCCTCCCCTACACCATATTTATGACTTTTGCAATCAGAAAACGAATAACTAATGCTATTTACAAAACAGCTGGTTATATGAGCAAGCAGTACCTTAAAAGCAGACTGGAAGGGCCTCATCTCCAACAACTCCTTCTCAATTCTACTTTTCATCCCAGGGTACATCATGTTTCCACCGGTGAGGAAAACGTTCTGAACCAGCAAGTCCTGAACATCCTTTGAGTATCTAGGAGAGAGATGATTCCTTCTGGCATAGTCCTACCAACGTAGGATCAGAGAATGCCAATGTAGAAATGTAAGAAATGTAAGGTCTTGCCAAAAAACAGAAATCTGCACATAAAGTGTTTTTAAAAACTTCCTGGGGCACCAGGCAGCTCAGTCAGTTAAGCATCCAACTCTCAACTTCAACTCAGGTCATGAGACTGAGCTCTACATCAGGCTCCGTGCTGGGGATGGAGCCTGCTTGAGATTCTCTTTCCCTCTGCCTCTGCCCCTCCCCATCTTTTAAAATATATAAATAAATCTTTAAAAAACCCACAAAACCTCCATTTGTCATTTATGATTTTGCAGAATTCACTTCCTTAGTAGGATTACAAGTTTTACGCCTCTTAACACACTTTTTAAAAGAACTGACTTTATGGAGGACTGATTTCCAAACATTCTGATAAAGTCTGACAAAGGTATACACCCCAGCAACCATGACTACAATCAAAATACAGATATTTCCATTACCCCAAAAAGTCCTGCCTTACTTTTGCTGACCCATCCTTCCACCTGCGTTTTTTTTTTTCTTTTTTTAAAAAATAACAGCTTTAACTTATACATGTTTGAGCACTTTCCCATTGAGACAAAGCTCAAAGCCACTCAAAGTGGCCACAATAGCTTTTCTTCCTTGCTAGGTGCCAGTTTTCATTCTGTTTCAATCAACAGCAGCCAGGGAACTACAAATCATGCTCTCCACTTGTCCAGCTTGAATTATGAAAACTCACACTGCAGGAAAAATGCCTATATAAATGGGATGGGAAAGGAGCAGTTTATAGAAGTACAAACTCTTAAATATAATGTCGGCAAAGAGGAAAAAAACTCATAAGCTCTGCAAATTTTAAGGGTACTTAAAAATCACTAGTCTTCAATAATGTAAAGGTTTATATGAAAACCAATGCATGTACATTATTGTATTGCTTAAACATCAAAGAATTTCTTAAAGCTCCTCAAATCAACTGAGCATTTACATGTTCAAAAAAGAATTACAGAGCCCCTGTGACATGCCAGGGCTGGGGAAGATAAAGAATACTATCAGAACACAGCAAGTCAATGAAAAGGAAGGCATGAAACAGATTTTCAAATGCCCAACCATCTCATCTACCATTCAGTGTCAAATCCAAGGAAATGGTTCTGGAAGATGGAAGGAAAAGGAGGTTTAATCTCACCTGTCCAGGATGTACTGAAGGGTCTCTGCTATCCCAGCTTGCTCTTCCCCTATGAGGGACGGCTGGAAGATAATTTCTGGAGCTCGAATTCTTTCTGTCCCAACAAACAGCTGATGATAGGCTGCCAAGTTAAACACGGGCTTTAAAAACCCAAGGTTTAGAAGATATTTTTAGGCCACAGTGACAAACATTCCAGTTGCCAGTATTTCTTATTCCAACATAGCTTCTGTTCTTTGTTCCTGCCAGAATAACCTCTCCCTAACTCTCCTGATAAGATAATCCCATTTTCGGTCTTTCTCCCACCTCTGTATTACAAATACCTTCAACTTTGCATGATGAAGTGGTCTCTGCATTACAGGGAAAGAGATATCAGAAGAAGAGCAGTGGAAAGGACCAGCACTGCAAGACCAAACCTCCAGCCAGCACCCTGCTCAGCAGCCCAGTCGCTACACAGCAGAAAAAGCGCTCTCCCCAGTGAGTCTCAGACTCAGGTCAGTCTGTCTGATTGCCATTTGCAATGACAGAAACTCAGGCCCAAATGGGGACTAAGCATAATTACACTGGCTTAAATATAAATGAAACCATTAAAGCTAGGCTTCAGGTCTAAAGTCCTCAATTACTTGCCAAAATATTTCTTCCAAGGCAGACTGTTTCTCACAGGTTCACAATCTTAGTGCTGGAACCTCAATCAATAAGAAAAGCCCTGACTTCAGATGTTTTAGTATTAGTACCCTAGCCCACCAACATTCTAGAAAATAAAACTGGATTTTGTTTGTTTGTTTGCAAAAATATTCCTAAAGAAGCAGACTAGACCAGACTAGTTGTTTTTATCAATGGTTTCAAAGCAGAAACATGGTGCAGGCTACAGGAACCCAACCTGGACAGTGGTAACTGGCTTCTCCACTTCAGGGGTTTCCTCTGAAAACAAGGGTTCAAAATCATTGATGCTTTCCACATCTTCCAGAGATGGCTCCAGCTGCTCCAGGTCAGGGGTCTAAGAACAGAAGAAACAGAACAAAACAGCACCTGTAATTTAAGAAGCCCTTCACTCTATCAGTTCACAGTCACGAACAAGAATTGGTGTTTTGCTCAATGTCCTCGAAGTTTGTGTAAAAATTATTAAAAATTTTCTAAACTATTAAAAAAAAAAAAAGACTAAAAGCTCCCGAGGCAGCAGAGAGCTTTGCGACTCTGGCACCCAGCACAATGGGCTTTCCTCTTCAGCCACAGTGAACCTAAGTGGATTCAACTCACGCTGGCAGGACCCCCAACACCGGGCTTAGGGCATACTGTAATTTTGACCTGAACAAGAGAATCTGAGCAGGGGTAGTGTGGTTCTAGGTGACATCTCTAGCCATCTGTCATTCTGCCATGTGAAAGGCAGAGGAGTTTCACCTTCTGGACTCAAGGGGGAGAAGTTACAGGAAGAAATTCCATGGAAGAATGCTCTAACAATGACAGCTGTCGTAAAAAGGAATGTCTTACGAGGTCTTGCGGAGGACGCAAGCTGACTCGGTACTATCCACCTGGCATGCTGAAGGGAGGTCCCTGCATGGGGTACAAGCCCTCTGAGGTCAGCCTTACCCTTGGAAATCTATGAAGTACACAAATTATCAATATAATTCAGAGCACTTAAGTACACTGCTCTAGAACATAGCCACATATATTGCCAATGTAAATTAGCATTCAAACTCACTTTTTTAAGGGTGTTTCGTTTTTTGTTTTTGTTTTTTTTTTTTAATTTTTAAAGAGACAGAGAAAAAAAAAATAAAGAGACAGAGAGTGCACAGGAGCAGGGAGGCGCAGAGGGAGAGAGAATCCCAAGCAGGCTCCATGGTGTGTAGAGCCTGATGCAGGGCTCAATCTCAGGACCCTGAGATTATGACCTGAGCCGAAATCAAGAGTTGAACACTCAGCGGACTGAGTCACTCAGGCATCCCTCAAACTCACTCTTAAGGGAATGCCCTTCAACACTCCTGCGGTGCACACCCACCAGAACAGTTACATGCATATATGGCTTATAGAATAAGGGATAATGTATCCTAAATTCTGTTCAATATAAAGAATTCTACCAAATTTAAGGAGAGGGTGAACCCTGGAAAGGACGGGGAACATTTCATCTGAGACTAGAGAACAGGAAAAGAACTAGTGTGGAAATAGGTAACTTAAGGAGAGAAGAAGGTAGGCTGGGAGGCAAGAATCCATGGACTTTGCTTTCAGGGAAGGAGGTGAGAGCCATCTGAATACTGCATCCAATTCAGGAGCAGAAAACCTGATACTTGCACAATCCTCCCTGTGGAGATGACTACTATGCTTCAGGTGTGAGGAAATGGGCTCCACAGAGGATCAACACTTGCCCAAGATCACATCACACTACTAAGTGTTGGAAGCTTGGCCCAAGACAGATGGTTTAGCTCCAAAGTCTTGGACCTGCCTCAAGCTAAACTTCTATACATCGTGAGTCTGAGTGCAGCAGGACAAACTGGGCTCTGCGAGTATGGAAAAGATCTGAGGTCACAGTGAACAGGAGAACAAAAGATTTTACAAGCAGCAGCAAGACCAGCTGAGCGAAATGGCAGGCTTCTCTACCCCAGGACGGGCTGCCAAGCACATGAGAAGACATTCCCCTGGAGGTCTGCAGTCTAGTCTGGAAGACTCTGATCTCCCAGAAAGAAGCCACAACCCTGGGAATGCTTGGGCCTGTTCTAACTCAGCACTAAACTCAGGGGTCCCAACAGAGGATCAGAAACAGATCATGAAAGTTCTCCCTCATTTGGGGGCTCGTCATCCAGGGCAACCGGCAACCAGGAGCACTGTGATGTTACAGAAAGAAGGGAGGCTTTGGGGTCACATCAGTCCAGCTCTGAATGGCAACCAAAGATTTATTTAATGTCACAATGGTATAGTCTGAGCATATTTCCTCCTCCTCCTAGGGAGTACCCCTAGGGCAGTGGTGGGGTGACAAGTGAACACTTCTTCCTTCTTTCAACTAGGCACTCATTCTGGTCCCTTAACTGTTACAATACCAGGTTGGAGGCACACATATGTCACTTGTGTATTTAAAATAACTACAGGCAATACTTGTGGATCCTTTCTCCGAATAATGAGTAAAGGCTAGCCCTAGGCTCCAGAGTTACCTCCTACCTACTGCTCTACTCCCCACACCTCGGTCTGACTCATCTTCTATCCCAACCTCCACTCCTGACCTCTCTGACCTCCCAGGGATGACCTCCCTTGTGCATTCACAGCTTCCTCTACCCACCCGGGAGCCTGATCATAGCTGCCACCCTCCAATCCTACTCTACCGCTGTGCTGCTCCAACAGCCACTCTCAGATCCCAAAGGGTAGGATCCCACCCATAGGCTCATTCCTCTTCTGCTCTGAGGCAGGCTGTATTTTTCAAAAACCATGACAACGGTATCTTCCATCCTACACGCTCTTCCTCCAGGGGATTTTGACACTCCCCACAAAGGGATGGGGCTTCTTTCCTCCCCTCGAATCTTAGCAGGGACCTGTGAGACTCCAACCATTAGAACTGACACAGGGATCCCTGGGTGGCGCAGTGGTTTAGCGCCGGTCTTTGGCCCAGGGCGCGATCCTGGAGACCCGGGATCGAATTCCACGTCAGGCTCCCGGTGCATGGAGCCTGCTTCTCCCTCTGCCTGTGTCTCTGCCTCTCTCTCTCTCTCTGTGACTGTCATAAATAAATTTAAAAAAAAAAAAAAAAGAACTGACACAAGTGGTATCATGTGACTTCCTATGTGAGGTCATAAGAGGCCACACAGCTCCCTTCACCTTGACCTCTGAAACACTCGCTCTCTGGCTACTCTCTCTTGGGGAGCTCCCTCCAAGAAGCCAGTTGCCATGCTGAGAAGCCCAAGGCACATAGACAGACCCCACATGGGTGCTTAGGTCCACCATCCTGCTAAGCATGGCCTTGGAGTCATCCCAACCCAGACGCCAGCTAAGTGAAAAGCCCTCCAGGGGTCCCAGTCCCTAGCTGTCCAAGTCTTCCCAGATGAGGCCCCAAGTGTCACAGAGCAGAGATCCCTACTATGCTCTGAATTCCTGACCCATCATATTTGGGAGCACAACACAATGGTCATCATTTTATGCTACTAAGTTTAGAGTAGTTTTTCCACACAGCAACAGGTAAGTGAAATACACTTCTTGTGAGCAGGAGTGGAGAAAGCCCCAGGCTGCTGCTGGCGGGCCTGCCATCCTCTTCGGCTTCCTCGAGCATTCTCCAGAGCAGGTGTCTGCAAGCCCTCCCAGCACTTCTCCACAGCCCCCACTTTTAGTCACCACTGGCAGTTCTTAGCAGATGGCCTCAGGTGCTTCAGAAAGCCCACTGCCTATTTATCCTGCACCCCACCTCTTTACCTTTTCTCCTGTCCTTCCACGCTCTGGTGTCATCACCCACTCTAGGCTGAGCCCACCACCCAAGCTCTTACGATGCTCCCAGTAACCCTGCTGCTCTTTCAGCTCTTCCTCAGTCTCTTACCCTGGTTTTTCCTCCACCCTCAGAATTTTAAGGAGTGGCCTTCCCCAGGCATCCTTCTCTTCTCACTCCCCATGCAATACTAGGTCCTTCCACAGCAGGGTCCTGGCAAATTTCATCTTAAGTCCCACAGAGACTCTAAAGATAAGGCACTCAAACCAAAGGCGTTACCTCCAGCCTGGGACCCTCAAGGGACCAGAGTGATCCTGCACTTGGATGGCCTGGGTCTGAACCTCAGCTGCACTACCTTGGGCAAATTCCTCTACTCCCCTGAATCTCAGCCTCCTTCTCTGTCAAACAGATATATAATAGTACTCACAGAATTGTGAAAATTAATCAAGATAACACTTGCAGAAGTGCTCAGCACAGGGTCTGGCACATGTCACATGTTCTATTATCAGCAACTGCTACTCTGTCACCACATCCACTAAGTGGCACCAAAAACCCTGGATGCTACCTCTGAAGTGTCTCCTCTACCTTCCACCCCCATGGCTGCTCTCCCACCCTTCCCACATCAGCTCTCTTCCAGATTACAACACATTTACACCTGTCTTCCCACCCCAAGCTTCACCCCTCCCTAAACCCATCATCCTAACTGTCACTAGTTATTTTCCTAACATAAAGTCTCCTTAGATTATTTCCTTGCTGTACATCCTTTGAAGGCTCTGTGTGAAGGCTGACTGATAAAGACCTTTGTAGGCTGGCCTCTGCCTCCCTTCCCTGCTTCATCTCCCACGCTGCACACTAAACCTACCATGCTCCCTGCATGCATCCTTCTTTGCATCTAAATGTCTCAATCTATGATGTCCTTCCCTTATTTGCTACCTATTGAAATCTACAATCTTTCAGGGCCCACCTCAAATATAGCAATCCTTTCTCAAAACTTCATCTATATTCCCACACACATCTACCATCATACCAGATAAGCTTCATTACAGTCAGCTAAGTAGAATACAATATCCTCATTTTTTCAGGTAAATGAAAGATGCAGAAAATGTATGTTAATCTATGTCACTAGTACCTAGCATACCATGCCTATTACTGTGTGTGTGGTGAGCCCCTGGGATACACCCTTTAATTTCCCTGGAATAGCAGATTATAAAATGTTCAAATTTCAAAAGACTTCTTCAGCTATAGCAAAAACATCATCATCTACCTTCATCTAGCTATACTCAGAAACATGCTACTTAAAGATCACTTCTGTTTCACTAGAAATGATAAAAAGATATTTTACTCATCCTAATTCATATGACTCACAGAGAAATAAAGCCAATGATTTATTTTTTTAAAAGATTTTATTCATTTATTCATGAGAGACAGAGAGAGAGAGAGAGAGAGAGAGAGAGAGAGAGAGAGAGAGGCCGAGACACAGGCAGAGGGAGAAGCAGGCTCCATGCACGGAGCCCGATGTGGGACTTGATCCCGGGTCTCCAGGATCATGCCATGGGCTGAAGGCGGCACTAAACCACTGAGCCACCCAGGCTGCCCCAAAGCCAATGATTTCAAAGCAGACAATGGGCATGCTAGAAAGAACAGATTTCTCTACCACGGCTGGCTTCTCGCCTTCTGGGGTTTGCCAGAGTGTCCACATGTATTGTGTAGCATTCAGGAACACAAATAGCCATTCTTTTGGAACTGAACAGAATGACAGTTTGCCAAAGCACATGAGAGAAGATGCGGCATGGTTCCCTGGAATAGTCTTGATGGAGTGGCTTAAGAACAAGCAGAAGCCAGCTCTGATCTTGGCTAATCAGGCAAGAGAACTTTCTATATTAAGCTCATTGTATTCTCCAAAAAGTGATGGTGCTCTAAAAATGTGCCCCTCCCCCAAAGCAATTGCTGTACTTAGTGATGGAAGGCCAACATCCTCTAGTTTAAATACTTCATTAGGAATGCTGACAAAACCCACTCCTTTACAATATCCTCATCAGAATACTTGCAGAATAGCAAGTGCTGAAATGGACTGGTCTATGGGGAAAAAATGGATTTCAGAAAACACTTCAGTTAAAAATTTTGCTGGATTAATCCAATTTAGCCATTACTACTTGGATGGTATTTCGATATGAACTTTGATCCACATAAATCCATTCTCTCCATTCTAAACAAATTACATTGCCGGAAAACACCATAAATACTTTTTGAAAGGTAGAACTAGCCAGCCAGTGTCATGGTCACATTTATCCCATGAAATTACTGTAACTGACCCTAATCACACTCACCCTCAATAAATGCTCATGCTTTGAGGACATATCAACTCATTAAATTTGTTGTATACAGAGAAACTACTGAAAGTCCAAAATTTCAAAACCTCCCCAAGCCCAGAGAGATTTGAATATTATCCCCAGAGCACGGAAGGAAGTGGGGACTTAATAAGTACCTGCTAACTGCAAGAAGAGTGGCTGACTCACAGCCTGCAACAAATACAGAAAAATCCACAAAGAGAAGGAAAAACTGGCTCTCAACTGCTTACGAATCACATTTTATAGTTGTTTGGGGCTTTTCTTTTGAAATCTGAAATCCCGGGGTGCCTGGGTGGCTCAGATGACTGAGCAGACGTCTACCTTTGGCTCAAGTCATGATGTCAGGATCCTGGGATCAAACCCCACATTGGGCTCCCTGCTCAGGAGAGTCTATTTCGCCCTCTCCCTCTACCCTTGCTTGTGTTCTCTGTCTTTCTCATTAAAAAAAAAATAAAAATAAAAATAAAAATCTGAAATTCCTCACCTGCCAGTGGTTTAATGATACATCTCTGGTATAAAGATGCTGATGTCCTACTAGCACATTAAGCACAGTAAGAACTGAACAAGGGGAAATACACAACAAAGGCAACATGGGTCTGGACCCCAGTAAACAGCTGAGATCCAAAGCACAACAGGGAATCGGGGAAGCTGACCTGGGATACCACTCCAGAGTAAGACGGCAGTCATGGCCCCTCACCCACACTCTAGCCATCCTGGGAAGCTGTGTCCAGGAAGCTTGACTCGGGGTCTGCTCTGACATGCATGCCCTGGCTGGCTGTTGGCCTCAGGGAATCTCAGGTATTTGGAGAGCTGGAGATGGAGGCTGAGTGCAGCAAGTGTGTAAGTGAGCCTCCAGCTGAGAGTCAGAGCAAGCACAGGCTTCCTGCTGAGCCAAAGACACTTCTGAAGTCACTGGCAAGCAGCCACACCACGCCTAGCACCAAACTGGATTTTTCCATGGGACTGCTTCTTTCTAAATGTATAAGTTTTAGAATTTAAAGAAAGTTGATTTAAAAACAAAATCCTACCAAGCTAGAATGGTTAATCCTGGCCCAGAAATGTCACAAGTCAATGAACAAGTCCTTTGTCTTAGAACTCCAGAGCAGATAGATTTAGGACATGCACACACTTACTAACACTTTCTTCCAGTTCTAAAGCCAAGCAAGTCAACTCGTGTGTATGGGTGTGCAGCGCCCAGTGTGAGGGTGTGCATCACCTTGGGCCCTATCTCAGCCCTGCCACTTGCCTTGATGCCATATCAACACTTATTAACAGTCCACTGGCATGGAAACAAAAAGAAGACAGAGAACACTGAAGAGCTTATTCAAACAGTTTTAGTCATGGCTGATCTTAAATCAACACATGGACATTTTATTAAGCACATCCACTAGCTGCTGTAAAAAATCCACCAACTATTATGAAGCATGACCCTTGTCCTTAGGGGACATCACGATGGAAAGAAAGTAAGTGAAACATCAACCACAATATATTTAAGAAAATATGAGGAAAAGTAGAAGGGAGTGTGTGACTAACTGCAAATAACCATTAGAAGAATGTTCAGATTCAAGATGGCACCACATGGCTGGTGCGTGAATGTTCTTTCTACTCTACATGCACAGATGCCCCTCCCAGGGGAGCCAGAAGTCTACAGGGTGACTCACCCTTGGGTACAAACTTCAGTCAGCACAAGGTCAGTGCCTCTCTGCCCTGTCCATGTCCCCATGGACGGCACTCACCATGCTGCTTTCCAAGTCTGGTCATACCTCTTTGAGGTCAGCCTTCTCAAGATAGTCCTCCCTCCTGCCCTCAGGCTAAACGACCCTACGGGACCCTCCTCCCAAGGCCCCTGGTACCTCAGGCTTGCTGTCCACCACATCCACCTCAAGGGTGACTTCTGCTTGGAGGATTTTCTGCTTTGCCTGCTCCACTGCTGAGCTGAGTTTCTGTATGTAGGACTGCAGTTCTTCCGGGGAGTCCATGTTCAGCTCTACCAGAGCTTTGTGAAACTGATCCATCTGGCCATCTTCTAAAAGTTCCTGAAACCAGAGCAGCTGCAATTCATCTTCAAAGATGACAACACAATCACAAACAGGAAGGAAAAAGAAGTAGTTTGGAAGCTAAACAGAGAAAAACTATAGCAGGAAGGGCTCCCACAACTCCCCTAGCCTGCCCCTCCACAAAATCTCACCTCCCACCCACAGTTCACACACCGCCCTCTTCCCTAGCTGTCTCTAGGCTGCATCGTATTACAGTCTCAGCAGCATCTGAATAGGCAAAACTAATCTATGGTGACAGATGTCAGAAAAGTATTGGCTAAGAAGGGATATGCAGGAGGTCTCTGGGATGCCAGTGCTCTGGATGGCAGATATACATTGTGTCTCACGTTGTGACAATCCATCGAGCTACACACTATAGATTTGTGGATGTGCGCTGCACTTCAATTCAAAAGTTATAAGACAAAGGAGATTATAAGGCCAAAGTAAATCGGTGAAGGCCAAGCCCACAACTCTCTGAGACACCTGCTGCTCTGTATGCAGCATGACTCCTCTGTGCTGAGGAGCTCCACAATGAGAACCCTCGAGTCCTCCTTGACCGCAAGGGGAACTCAGACAGTCACTGCATTTCTTGGCTGAGGAAGAAGATCTAGGAAGAAACCTTTCTGGGACCGCCTGTGCAAAGGCTGCAGCGCCCTCCTGGGATGCACACGCACCTGCACATAGAGCAGTCTGTCCAGCCGCTCCTGGTCCAGCTGCAGCTTCTCCTCCCGCCGGCGGGCATTGAGCTCCTGCAGGCGCCGCAGCTGCTGCTGCCGCCTCTCCTGCTTCTCCTCAGAGCTCAGAGTGCTGCCCAGGAGCTTGCTAGAGAACGGGAGCTGCATCTTGTGGACATTGTTTTCGTAATAATCAGGGCATCTCCATTTTTGCAGTTCTTTGGAGAAATAATTTTGGAAGTTATAAACGGAAACACTATTAGCACAGAAATTAGAAAGTTAATACCAAGCTTTGAGATCCAGATAAGGTAGAGAAAGCACGGTCCACTCAAACTCTGACTCCACCCCGGTGACAAAACGCAGATATAACACCTGGACATGTGTAATGCCTACAGATCTGTTCTCAAAAAATTGCTAACTAAAGTTTGCCAGACAGACCTGATAACAGAAAGAAACTTGAAACTTTAGGAATGAAGAAATAGCAATAGATATGATGAAAATCTCGGTCAACATGATAGACTAACCTCTTCTGGAGTTCTTTTAAAATATGTTTGACAATTCAAAGTAAAAAGCCCTCACAATGTCTGTTGGGTTTTCAACGTGTATAAATGTAATACGTAAGACAACCCAGGATAAAGGAGCCCCTGGGGTGCTAACATTGCCACATTGCACTGAGATGGTAAAAAGAGATCCTCAAAACACTGCAAGGAGTCTGTTTACTATAACCTCAAGGCAACCACCAAAAAACTATACAAAAAGATATAGTAAAAACACAACAGATAAAATACCAATACGAAAACAAAATTTTTAATATTTAAGTAACCCAAAAAAAGCAGTAAAGACAGGAACAAAGAGAATAACAGACAACAAATAATAAAATGGTAGAACTAAACCCAACATATGAATAATAAATTTTAAACTGTCTTACCAAACTAGTTAAAAGATAGAGACTGACACCGTGATTTAAAAAACAAAACAAAACAAAACAACCAACTATTAAGAAACTCACTTTGAATATAATGATAAAAGTAGATTTAAAAGATGGAAAGACACTCCATGCAAGCACTCAGCAAAAAAAGTTGGAGTGGCTGTATTAATGTCCCAGTAGACATCAAAGCCAAGAAAATTACAAGGGGTAAAAAGGGATACTGTATAATGATAAAAGGTCAATTTGTCAAGATAGAATACGAATCCTCAATATGTACCTAACCAAAGCGCTTTATATACTTAAAAGCAAAAACTGACAGAAATGAAAGGAGAAATAAAAAATTTACAATTATCTCTTGAGACTTCAAAACTCTTTTAATAATCAACAGAGCTACAAGCACGGGAAAGGAACAGGGACATAGAAGAACTGAAGAGCATCATCAACCAGTGAACCTAAATGACATCACAGACTACTCCGCCCAACAGCAGAAGCCCATGATCTTTTCAAGTATAAATGGAACATTCACCAAAGGAGACCATGCACCAGGGTCATAAAGCAAACCTTCACAAGCTCCACTGATACCAAGGTTTTTTGACATAATGAAATTTAACTAGAAATAAGTCATGGAAATACTACATGAGTTATCTCTAATACTTAACCATAAAAAACCTTACTTTAACTTTCAGCCTTCCACATCAACTATTTATTAAACTATCAAATTAGATTGAACCTTTAAAACCTAAATGTTTTATTTTAATTAAGTGTTAACTTTAATTCCAGTATAGTTAACATAGTTTCAGGCATACATTACAGCAATTCAACGATTCCATACATCATCCAGTGCTCATTACAAGTATGCTCCTTAATTCCCATCACCTATTTCACCCATCCCCCCACCTTCCTGCATTTGATTTGAACAAATCATCCATTTGTTCTTGACAATTAAAAGTCTGTTTCTTAAAAAAAAAAAAAAAAAAAAGTCTGTTTCTTCAAACAATCCAATCATGAAATGGGCAAAAGACATGAACAGAAATCTCACAGAGGAAGACATAGACATGGCCAAGACGCACATGAGAAAATGCTCTGCATCACTTGCCATCAGGGAAATACAAATCAAAACCACAATGAGATACCACCTCACACCAGTGAGAATGGGGAAAATTAACAAGGCAGGAAACCACAAATGTTGGAGAGGATGCGGAGAAAAGGGAACCCTCTTGCACTGTTGGTGGGAATGTGAAATGGTGCAGCCACTCTGGAAAACTGTGTGGAGGTTCCTCACAGAGTTAAAAATAGACCTGCCCTACGACCCAGCAATTGCACTGCTGGGGATTTACCCCAAAGATACAGATGCAATGAAACGCCGGGACACCTGCACCCCGATGTTTCTAGCAGCAATATCCACAATAGCCAAACTGTGGAAGGAGCTTTGGTGTCCATCGAAAGATGAATGGATAAAGAAGATGTGGTTTATGTACACAATGGAATATTACTCAGCCATTAGAAACGACAAATACCCACCATTTGCTTCAACGTGGATGGAACTGGAGGGTATTATGCTGAGTGAAGTAAGTCAATCGGAGAAGGGTAAACATTATATGTTCTCATTCATTTGGGGGAATATAAATAATAGTGAAAGGGAATATAAGGGAAGGGAGAAGAAACGTGTGGGAAATATCAGAAAGGGAGACAGAACATAGAGACTCCTAACTCTGGGAAACGAACTAGGGGTGGTGGAAGGGGAGGAGGGAGGAGAGGTGGGGGTGAATGGGTGACGGGCACTGAGGGGGGCACTTGACCGGATGAGCACTGGGTGTTATTCTGTATGTTGGCAAACTGAACACCAATAAAAAATAAATTTATTATAAAAAAAAAAATCTGTTTCTTGGTTTGCCTTTTTTTTCCTTTGTTCATTTGTTTTGTTTCTTAAATTCCACATGAGTGAAATCATATGATTCGTCTTTTGCTGACTTATTTCACTTAGCATAGTACTCTAGCTCAATGCGTATCATTGCAAAACAACATGATCGACTCATTTTTACAGCTAATAATATTCTGGTGTGTGTGTGTGTTCCACCTCTTCTTTACTCATTCATCTATCAATGGACACTTGGGCTGCTTCCATACTTTGGCTATTGTAAATAATGCTGCTATAAACATAGGGGTGCATATATCCCTCTGAATTAGTGTTTTTGTATTCTTGGGGTAAATACCCAGTAATGGGATTACTGGATCACTGTGGTCCTATTTTTAACTTTTTGAAGAACCTACATACTGTTTTCCAGAGTGGCTGCACCAGTTTGCATTCCCACCAACAGTGTAAGAGGGTTCCTTCTTTTCCACACCCTGGCCACACTTGTTTCTTGTATCTTTGATTTTGGATGGTATCTCTTTTGATTTGCATTTTCTGATGGTAAGTGATGTTGAGCATCTTTTCACATGTCTCTTGACCATCTCTATGTCTTCTTTGGAGAAATGCTCATTTATGGATTGTTTTATGAGTGTTAAGTTTAATCAGTTCTTTATATAATCTGGATACTAACCCTTCATTGGACATATCATTTGCAAATATTTTCTCCCATTCCATAGGTCGTCTTTTAAGTTTTGTTGTATCCATTCACTGCGTGGAAGCTTTTTATTTTGGTGTATTCTCAATAAAACAACACATTTCTAAATAATCAATGGTTCATAAAAATAAATATTGAGGGAAATTAGAAAATATCTGAACTCAATAAAAATTTAAAAATATCAAAATGTACAGAATGTAGATAAAGCAATGCTGAAAGGGAAATTTGCAGCATTAAATGCTTACACTAAAAAGAAGAATGGTCTCATAATAATCTGAACTTCTATCTTAAGAATGTAGAACAAGAGGGCAAACTAAACCTAAAGTAAGTAGAAGGAAGGAAATAATAAAAAGACATCAATGAGATTACCTAAATAGTCCTACTTCTATTAAAGACATTGAATCTATAGTTATAAGTCTTTATTTTTTAAAAGATTTTATTTGTTTATTCATGAGAGACACAGAGAGAGAGAGGCAGAGACACAGGCAGAGGGAGAAGCAGGCTTCTTGCAGGGAGCCCCATGTGGGACTCAATCCCCAAACCACAGGATCACAATCTGAGCCAAAGGCACTCAACCACTGAGCCACTCAGGCATCCCTATAGTTAAGTCTGTATAAAAAGAAATCTCCAGGCTCTAATGGTTCCACTGGAGCATTCTATCAAATATTTAAAAATATATATATCATCTATCTACACAATGTTTTCCAGAAAATAGAAGGCGGGTATACCTGGGTGGCTCAGTCGGTTAAGTGTCCGACTCTTGGTTTCCACTCGGGTAATGATCTCAGGGTACTGAGATTGAGCCCTATGTTGGGCTCTGCACTGAGCACAGAGCCTCAAAATTCTCTCTCCTTTTCTTTCTGCCCCTTCTCCCCCAATTAAAAAAACAAAAACAAAAAAACAGAAGAAGAACAGGGAACACTTTCCATCTAATTTAGTAAGACCAGCATCACCGGGATACCAAGACTAGTCAAAGACCATATAAGAAAACTATAGATCAACATCCTTCATGAATACATGAATATAGACATAAAATCCCACAAAATATTACCAACTCAAATTAAAAAAAACATATAAAAATAATAATGTACCTGAACAAGTGGGGTCTATCCCCCTACCCAATCAAGGCTAGTTCAAAATCCAAAAGCAATCATTAAAATCTCCCATAGGAGTAGTCCTAAAGCAGGAACACCACAGGATCATATCAATTGGTGCAAAAAGCACATTTCACAAAATTCAAAATCCATTCATGATAAAAATGCTCAGTAAAACTAGGAAGAGAAAAGAATTTCCTCAGTTAGATGAAGGGCATCTGTAAAAAACTTCACACTAATATCATATAGTTAATAGTGAAAGACCACATTCCTCCACTATGCCAAAAACAGGATCTGGGCATAAAACAGGGATGCTCACTATCACCACTCTTATTCAATATTGTGCTGGAAGTCCCAGCCAGTAAAATAAGGCAAGACAAAGCAAAAAAAAAAAAAAAAAAAAAAAAAAAAAAAAAAAAAAAGGCAAACTGATCAGAAAGGAAGAAATAAAACTGTCCCTTTTCATGGATGACATGTCTACATAGAAATTCCCAAGGAATCTACAAAAAAAACAAAAATAAATTTAGCAAGGTCACAGGATATAAGGTCAACCCATAAAAATTAATTGCATTTCTATACATTAACAATGAGAAGTAGAAAAAGAAATGAAACAAGCAAACAAAGACTCAAGCATAAATCTAACATGTACAGGATCCGTATGTCAAAAACTACAACATGTTGAAGAAAGAAAAAAAAACCTAGGTAAATGGAAAGAGCTACTATGTTCATAGATTAGAAGATTCCACGTAGTACAAAATGTCACTTTTCCCCAGTTTAGATTTAATATTACATCTTGATTTAATATATCTGGTAAAATATTGTTTCATATCCAATCTAATACATATTTCATATACTTTCAATCAAAATTCCAACAGAATCTTTTTTATACATATGAATAAACTAATCCTAACATCTATATGGAAAGGTAAAGGAGGTAAAATAGCCAAAAACCCTTTTCAAAAAGTTAACAGTTTACTGAACAGTTTAAGTAAATACCAAAAGGAAGAGGGGATACTAAAGAGCCAAGGAGTTATCCTGGGCACAATTTAAGGAACACCCTCAATGTAGCCAACATCTACAAGCCGCAGGCAAATGCCCTCTTCATTACCTTCCACATAATCTTCAGCAACGTAGCTGTGCTCGTGCAGGATCTCCTCCATGCGGCTGAGTGTGATGGCTGCCAGGTGCCCAGGATACTTCAGCTGCAGGAGGCGCTGGAGGTAGACAGCTGCTTGGCTTCCTCCCAGATTGATGCGTTTGCAGTTTTTAGCATCTAACCTACAATCAAGGAATGGAGAACAGTGCTGTCATTCTTGGCAACATGGAAGAAAGAACGGGGACCACTTGGTGGGGAGTCTGAGAGAAGGGTAACAGTCCAGATGAACAAAGAAGAAACCAACCAGGTAAGGGAACAGAAAACTTTACAGATGAAGGGACTCTAAAGTTCCCAGTCTCTTACTCAATGCAGGAATTCATAGTCCACACCCAGACACATGGCATCTAATTTCCAGTAAGAGTCTCAGAAGGAAACAAGGTTAGATGGAAAGATTGTGCACTTTGAATTCAGACCCTAATGTGACTTGTCAAGCATTTCTCAACCTGTGGGCCTTGCAGAATCAGCTGGGGAAAATGTTAAACATACTAATTCTCAGGACTCCTTTGCTTTGGGGCAGGCCCGGGAATATGCATTTTAACAAACTTCCCAGGTAAGTGCAGCAAAGGCTGGAGTTTAAGATCCCCTCCCCTAGATACTCCACTTTTACTGATGCATAAACATTAAGGAACCATGCACATACTGGCTTACTGTAAACTAAAAAGACCTGGTCCCCTTCACATGATATAAAGGGAAAGAGAACCAGAATAACATTTTTCTTAACATGAGAAAGAGGAGCAGAGCACTAGGGTCTTGAAGCATAATGAAATGCTGCCGCTATATCATGCTTCACCAGCAGATGCCAGCATAGAACAGGCTACGCTCCAATGTGCTCATTTCTTAGCTTTCAGGTAAAATACTTTTCTCTCAGTATGATATAAAAATAACAAGGTTATTTTTAATTTCTGCATATTCTGTTTACATAAAATAGAAAACTCTATACATCAGGAATGTTTGGTAATATGTAAAAGAAGTATTATCTTCATAAATTTTTGTAGAAACTTCAGAGAAAATACCACTTTAGTTCTAAATAAATTCAACATTTATTTTGACTTAAACATTCAGACTATAATCTTCTAGTTCACAAAGTGCCATCACCTACATAATTATTTCATCCTCAGGGTGAGGATGAAATTAGTTTCTCCCAATTTTACATGTTAAGCAGCTATGTGAAGAGGGTAAGTAACTTCACCCTCAGCAGGGCTGCAAATCCAGGCCTTCGAGGCCAAAACCAGGGCTCTACTTCCTACTTAAATGCCCTTTATGCACTGAGAAACCTCAGAGAGCACTATGCTGGCCTCGTCTCTTCTCTGAGCATAAAAGTCCAAACATAAAATGAAAACAGGTTTAAAAATGAAACTACCCTCACCTTTTATCCAACTTGGAAATGTTTTAATAAGTACCTGTATTACATGCCAGGCACTATACCTGGAAAAAAAAAGGTCTAAAAAAAAAAAAAAAGGTCTAAACAATCATGATTAAAAAGCTTTAAATAAAAAAATAACCTCTCAATAATAAGGTGACTCCAGAACATTTCAAAGACCGTTTACATTATTCAAATAATGTATTCAAAACATTTTTATGGAGCACCTACTACCTGCAGGTACTATGTGAGCTATCTTGCCATAGTTCCAAATAGTAAAATTCTAGAATTGTGGATTTGGCCCTCGCAGACCATCTACTGCAACTTGGCCCAGGAGATCACAAAGGACGGAAGGTGGATTGACTAAAGTCACATAGTCAAGTATGTCAGAGCCAAGCCCAGAGGCCGGTTCACAGTCCAATGCTTGTTCTTTCCACTCCACCTCTAAAGTGGGCCCCCAATAAATGTTTTCTGAATGTTTCTCAAAACAGCACTCAAATGCTGTCAAGGCTACTCACCTCCCTTCTAAGATGGGTAAAATATGTGTACACTGGTATCCAGATGAAATGATGAGCCCACTGGAAATCAAGTTCTTTGGCTTATTGTGGTAAAAGCTGAAGAGGCTGTCTATTCCATAGGCAACCTTAGGGATCCCATAGCACTCAAAAAGAAGCTCGGACATCATTTGTCGAGAATACAGTGGGTTGCACACAGCTTCTGTCAGAACTATGGGATGATCGACACAGCCCTACTTTGAAAGAAAAAAACAGACAAGTAACAAAAAACACTCTTTTCAAAGCACAAAAAGAAACCAAAGTCCTACTGTAAAGACTGAATTTGCTTTTTGGTCTTTAATCAAAAATCTGACCAGAAGCAACTGTAGAATACTCACCTCATCTCTACTGGAAGTTGTTGTAGAAAATATGAAAGCAGGGTCAATTTAAGGTTATTAAGTCAAACTCCCTCCAAAGTGTCAGCAAACCATATCAGCTCTGTCACCGATTTACCTTCAGAACCCAATGGCTTCATACCACATCCCCCTCCCCCAACTTCCTTCGCGTAAGTCACCACCACCTCTCACTTGGGTTATGGCAACAGGCTCCTAACTGACCTCCTGGTTCTACCCTATGCCCCTTGCCAGTTTGTTCTGCATTTAGCAGCTACAACGATCCCTCTGGAACAAAAGCCACATCCCTGCCCCTGCTCAACACCCTGCCATGGCTCCTCATTTCACGCAAGTAAAAGCCAAACGTGATCTGCTCCCCCCACCGCAGCTCTCTGACTTCCTCCTCCACTTACTATTCTCCTCTCACTCTGGCTGCTATCAGTTAGGACTGGGGCACATCCCTGCCTCGGGGCCTGCTCACTGGCTGTTCCCCGTCTGGAATGCCCTTTGCTCATTCACATGGCTTGCTCCCTCAATCACCTCCTTGAATCCTTGCTCAAACAGCATCTTCTCCCTGCGTCCTATCCTGACCATGACGGGGGGGGGGGGAATACTCTCCTCTCCTCCTACCCTACCTGAATCTACCACCTAATTCTAGTTATTCGCCGTTTCATACTAGACTGTCTTTTTTCCATTCCAGCTCCACATTCACGGATGTATTCCGAACGCCTAGAAAAGTGCCTGACACAGAGTGGGGTGCTCAATACCTACGGCCGAATGTGTGCTGCAAGGGAGGAGGCGCGCTGTGTGCTCACTGCTGTACCCCAGGAGCCTGGCACACGTTGGGCGCTTACGACTTACTCGACTGACCAAGTGAATGAGTAAATGAGCAAATGAGAGCTCCTGTAGTGAGGACGACCCCAGAGAGCCCAGAGCGCGGAGCCGCGAGCCCCCCCCACCCCCACCCCGCTTCACCTGCGAGGAGACACCGAGGTGCTGGAAGCTGTAGTCCAGCAGCAGCTCCTGCAGCTCCAGGTTGACCGGTACGTTGCGGTCGAAGGGCGAGCGCAGCATCCAACGCAGCGGCTCCAGGCTGCCCAGCGCGTTGCCCACCTGCGGGCCCGCCCCGCCCCGAGCCCCGCCCCGCCCGCGGGCGCACACAGCGCGGAACTGCAGGCGCGGCTCGGGACCCGGGTCCGGGCCGGGGCACGCCCAGCCAGCGCGGGCCTGGAACGACCCGTTGTCCAGCACGAGCGGCACCGGCAATGGCCCGTGTGCCCCCGGCCCGGCCTCGAGCACCGGGTCCGGCGCGGCGCGGGCGTCGCGGAACGGGAAGACGTTGGCCACGGCGCCGGCCGCCCCGGCCGCCGCCATCTTGGAGCGCGCACGCCGCCGTCCCCGCCCCCTTCCGCAGCGTCGCCCAGGCGGCGCCGAGCCCCGCCCCCCCCCCCCCCCCCCCGCAGCCCGGCACGGAAGGCGCAGGATCCCGCCCCGACGGCCGAGCCGACTTTCGCTACGCCCGGCCAGCCTTTGCGACCCCGACCGTGTGGGGATCGCTAGGCCCCGCCCATCTTGGTCTCGCAGTCCCGCCTCCGCTTGACCTCGCCCCACCAGCCGGCCTGGCCACGCCCCTTCGCCGCAGCCGGGACGCCGGCCAGTAAGCCCCGCCCCGAGGCGTGACGCCCCCGGGCCCCGCCCCGAGGCGTGACGCCCCCCCGGGCCCCGCCCCTCCCTGGGCTCCCGGACTAGGCGCTGACCTACGCCGTCCCGCCTTCTCGACCGGCCGCAGCCCGTTTTCCCCGTAAACTCTCCTTTACTCCTCCTCCGCACGGCGAGGCCGCCCTCGCCTGCAGCCCGCGAAGCGGACTAGGGGAGCGATAGTGTTCAATTTCTTTTTTTTTTTTAAGATTTTATGTATTTATTCCTGAAAGACACCGAGAGAGAGAGACTAGCAAAGACACAGGCAGAGGCCCGACGTGGGGCTGGATCCCATCCCGGGGCTCGACCCCGGGGCTCCAGGATCACGCCCTGGGCCGAAGGCGGGCGCCAGACCGCGGAGCCACCCGGGGATCCCCCTCGATTTCTTGCCCAGCAGTCCTGCTACGCACTTTTTCACTTTGTGAAAGTTCATCGTACTGTCCACTTAGGATTTGTGCACTTTCCTGTAATATTTTGTGATACAATAAAGCGTTTTCAGAGGTTTATTATTATTATTTATCGTTTATTAGCTCCCACAGACTGTGCCCTCTCACTGAGACCTCAAAGACTTAGGAAAAGGGGAGGTGGGTAGAGGGATTGGGTGACGGGCACTAAGAGGGCTTGTGATGAGATGAGCACTGGGAGGGTGTTACACTCTATGGTGGCAAATTAAATTTAAATAAAATGTTTAAAAATTTGAAAAAAAATGACTAATTGATCCTCAATATGTATAATCTCTCTTCCTTTTGGTGACCTGCCAAAAGGGGTGGTAACCTGCCCCCTCCCCACCCCGCAGGAGGTCATCTAGTATGACCATATGACTAAATTCTGGGCAATGGGCATGGGAGTGGAGGTAATGGGACCCCCCCCCAGCTCTAAAAGGATTGGGCGTTGTAAGTTGGCAAATCTAATTTAAACTTTTTAAAAAATGGAGACCACAAAATAAAGTCTACACAACGATGGATTCTATGTACAGGAATATATTTTTAACAGGCAATGTATTTATGAGGATGTTTTCTGTTTCCGATATTCATGATTACAAATACAATTTTTGCAACTGTTCTCTACATTTCCCAAGTCAATGACCTTTAAACCATTGTCAGGCATCAATGTTTCACTTCTAAGGCATAATCATTTAACAGACAAAAAATTAATTAGATTAAATACAATAGGGGCACCTGGGTGGCTCAGTGGTTGAGCATCTGCCTTTGGCTCAGGGTGTGATCCCAGGGTCCTGGGATCCAGTTCCCTGGCAGGCTCCCTGCATGGAGCCTGCTTCTCCCTCTGCCTATGTCTCTGCCTCTGTGTCTCTCATCAATAAATAAATAAAATCTAAATAAATAAATAAAATAAAAGAACTGAGCAAGCTCTCCCTTACTTGATTTCCCTCAGCTAGCAGTATACAAAGGTTTACAGCAGCTGCCTTGACTCTATGCTTCCAGTTCTGGAACACATAACTTTGAGAGAAAAAAAGCAAGTTAATTATAAAAGACCTCTCTGAATAAACATCTTAAACAGGAGATGAGACCTTAAACCTTTCTCAAAATCTCTGTGAACACTTCTAGGCCAGACTGAAAACCAGCCAAGTGGCAAAATCAGATTAAGGGTGTAGCCTTCCAACACAAACCCATTATCTCATATCTGAAAGGACTCATCCTTGAGCTGAGAAAGCAGGAATAAGCAGAAGACAGAGAATAGTAAATATATGTGAATGTAAGTTTAAGAACTACATCTCTACATACTAACATGGAAAAGTCTTCAAAATTTAGTTTTAAAAGAAATAAGTGAAGGCAGTACAATGTGTAATGAACTCCCTTTTTTTAAAAGGGGGAGTAACAAATACATATGGTTTTGCTCATATTTTCATATAGATAGAGAGGAAACTAATATGAGTTTACTTGTAAAGAGTGGAGCCAAGGGTCGCCTGGGTGGCTCAGCGGTTGAGTGTCTGCCTTTGACCCAGGGAGTGATCCTTGAGTCTCAGGATCAAGTCCCACATCGGGCTCTCTGCATGGAGCCTGCTTCTCCCTCTTCCTATGTCTCTGCCTCTCTGTGTGTGTCTCTCATGAATAAATAAATAAAGTCTTTAAAGAAAAGAGTGGAGCCAAGGTGGGAGGATCAGGTGGAGGAAACTTTTTCACTGCACACCTTAAAACATTTTTAGCCATGTGAATGTATTACTTTTTCACACACACACACACACACACACACACACACACAAGCACTATGTCTAAGAAAGGTAGCCTGGATTCTTGATCCCACTTCTTTACTTCCGTATAATAAGAGGATAATAATCCATACCATCTGCCATGTAACTTTATAAGGCCTCTCACCATAGTCATTGATACTGAGCTTGGTCATGTGGCTTGCTTTTAGCCAATGATAACCAAATGTGACCTAAGCAGAGGTTTTTGTTGTTGCTTTTTTTTTTAAGATTTATTTATTTATTCATTAGACACACACACACACACACACACACAGAGAGGCAGAGACAGAAGCAGGCTCCATGCAGGGAGCCCGACATGGGACTCGATCTCTGGTCTCCGGGATCAGGCCCTGGGCTGAAGGCAGCACTAAACCGCTGAGCCACCCAGGCTGCCCTGAGCAAAGGTTTTAAGTGTGCTTTGTGGTTTTAGGCTGGTCTCTTGCACTCCTGCTATTAGTCATGAGAAGAACATATCCTGAGTCTAAAGAGGATGGGAGACACCTGGAGCAGACCAGAACTCAAACAGTGGCCAGGAACCAAGTTCAACTGACCTGCAACATAAAGTTGATCTGCCCTGTGGCCGCATGAACAATAATACCAAAAATGTTTGTTCTTATAATCCATCAAAATTTTAGGTTGCCATGCAGCAGCATCATAGGAGAACATTGACAGACACACTAGACCAATGGTGCCCGATAATACTTCCTGCCATGATGGAAATGTTCTGCAATGTCCAATGCATGAGACATGTGTGAGTAGTGCAAACGAGAAGCTGATTTTTTAATTTTATTTAATTTTAGTTTATAGTTAAATTTAAAAAGCTGTGTGTAGCTAGTGGCTACTCTGTTGCACAACAAACACAGCACTGGTCAAAATCTATGGCTGTGGTTATTTGCCTACAGAAATGACTAGAAGAAAATAATCAGAAGCCTACTGTATTAATTTCTTACAGCTGGAATAATAAAGCACCACTAACTAGAATGGCTGACAACAACATAAATTTATTCTATCATACTTCTGGATGCCAGAAGTCCCAAATCAAGCTGTTCACAGAGCCATGCTCTCCCTGAAGATTCTAAAGGAAAAAATTTGTTCCATGTTTTTATATTATATTTTGATGTTGTTTGTAGTCATTGGCTTGTACGCACATCACTTCACTCTCTGTCTCCACTGTCACATGGCATTCTCCTTGTGTGTGAATCTCTTTTCCTCTTCTTAGAAGGATACCAGTCATATTGGATTAAGTGCCCACCCTACTTCAGTATGACCTTATCTTAATGAATTACATCTGTACACCCTGTTTCCATCCCACCCACAGAGTGTTGTTGGGAGCTGCTGAAAATATAAAGCTCTTCCACCTACCACCACCACCATCCCCCTACCCCTCGATCTTGGCCCTCAGCACTACTGGATCATCCTGCTGGGTGTTTCTGGCTAGGGGCCTCTCTTCTTCTGGCCCCTCCTGATCCCCACAACTGGTAAGGGTGGCACCCACAGCCTCACTGTGGGTCAGTCACAGCTAGGCTCTTGAACAGACTCTGTCCAAATCTCTAGGAAGTAGAGCTCATCTCCCAAGCCATACCTCACTGAGATTAGCATGAGGCAAGTGAAGTATTTGCTCAGAGAGTAAAATTTAAGAAGGTGCAAAAAAATTCAATAAGATATTTGATAAACTATTTTCAAAATCAAAATTCAAAACAGCTATAGCATTCAAAATAACATGAACAAAATAATAAAATTTGAAATCGAGATCCGATTGTTGCTGATATTTTCTTTTGCTTCTGACTCGATATGGTGAAGCGTAGACTACTATCGGTCCTGTGCTATCTGAATGTCATCATAACTGATCCTGAGTGCTTCAACAATAGGGAAATACACTAATGTCTGCAACTTGGAAAATGCATTTTATTTAATTGCTAGTGGATTGCTAGATGGACAGATGGATAGCTATGGGATAGATATTTCAGCATTGTAAATATGGTAATTGTTTGGTCTAGGTGGTGGGCATGTGGGCTGTCAGTGTAGAATTCTTTCACCTTTTCTGTATGCTTGAAACTTCTCATAATGTTGAAAAGGAAAAAAAATAAAAGCAGCGAGAACACCCAAGGCTGGCTCTCTGGGGTCCAACAAGCTCTCTCTCCTGAATCCTTGGATGTCCAGATCTGGGTTTTCCATCACCCCCTCACTGGCAGTGAGGACAAAGCCATCTAGCTGGTCTGTCCCCAATTTGATTGAGGCCTCTCTCTGTCCCTTGACCTGAGAACCTTCATTCCCACCAACAGAAAGTCAAGGATCCTCTCAACTTCCTGACTTGTCCCTATAAGCCTGTTGGGCTCCCTCCTGAGTCCCTAAAGCAGGAACAGATCAGTCCCTGGGGTAAGATCTGTCATTTAATGAAGCATGTTCCACAACAGAGCATCCTTCTATATTTGAGGGAAAAAACTATCAAAACCTACTTTTAAAATATGGAGGACCTGAAAATAAAGCATAGAGATAAACAGTGATTATCAACTGCAGGGTGGGATGACGGGGGGCAGGGAGGGAGGAAGCTTTTAGAAATCTGGTGTCTACAGGAAAGAGTTTACCCAAATTCTAAAAGTGGAGAGCCTTCTTTGAGGGCAGGCAGCTTGGGCTTTCACCACTGGGGGACAAGGCAGGGCCATCTGGGGACCAGGTAGTGGCAACTCTTGGATTCCCCCAGGGGCAAGGGTCTTGGCTCCAGGCCAGGGTCTCAAAGTGTTGAGCCAGGTACACCAATGCATGACTGACGCGGATGCTGGAGGGGACCACTTTTCAGGATCTGCACAAAGAACTGATGAGTTACTGATGGGCACTGATGGGCACCCTGGGGGCCCCCACCCCTTCCTCAATTCAACCCCCTAAGGAATCTAGCTAGGCCTAACTGCTCCCTCAGACTCTGAAAGTGCCCTCACTGAAGACCCAAAGCAAGATTGGAATGCTTCCTTTCAACTTGTACCCACATACATTGCACATTGGCGTGTTGGAGGCAGGGGTGCAGGGATGGATCTCAGCTCCCTATTTCTCCCTGCAGCCTGAATGCAAGTCAGAAATAGATGTACTACCAATGGGGGTGCTCCTATAAGGCTGGCTGTCCTGCCCCCATCTCACACAGGACCCAGGCTCCTGAAAGCTGAGCACAAAGCCTGGACCAGAATGCTGGGGAGTGGATCTAGGCAAGTCCGAGGAGGTGGCACTGTCTATGCGTCTCATTTGTCCTTCTAAAGATAGGAAGGATGGAGCTGATGCACGTGATGCTCCCACTCCCTCCACTGCAGCAGTCCTGGCTTTTTCTGAAGACTACAGACTGCCCTGAGACTCAGAGCGCACCCCAGGGTCAGTGGACCCACTGAGGAGAAGTGGCAGGCAGGGCAGGCAGGGCTGGGGGTGGAAGGGAATCACCTTCCAGGCCTGGGAGACATCAGAAAGCTGAGGGAAGCTGGAAACTGAGGTTCCTCGGGCCAGCTCTGGATCCTGGACAAACAAGAATAGTGACAAATGGTGATAGGCAGATGACAGTGGGCAACTCAAACGACCCGTTTAAATCGTCAGAACCCTCGGCAACAGAGGGGACCAGATCTTGTCCCTTATGCTCCATGGCTCTAGAACCAAGGGTGGTCCGAAGTCACCTCTGTCGCAGGCACACATACACATACACGCACACACACACAGAGGCACACATTCATCAAGACTCTCACAAGACACAGATGCAGGCTTCTCCGCACTCCACACGCACATCTTTATATCTCCTACACATGCGCACCAGGCCCCCACAGCCATTGTAAAAGGCACGGAGAATGGATATTGTTCTTAGGCATTCTCACAGTTCTTCCTTGTGTACAGATCACATCTAGAGAAATTGTTCCAAACTAGTCCTCTGCCTTGGTGGTAGAGACCAAAAACCTTCTGCAGGGCTTCTCTTGCAGTAAGGACCCCAGGAATGGCCCAGCCTTCCTGCATTCCTTGGTCCCATCTCTTAAGACCGACTACGACCCTCTCCAATGGGTTCAAGACCGGTGCTTTGGAGTGGGATCTGTACCAAAAAAGGACAGGATTCTCTAGGTAAATTAAAAACAAAAACAAAAACAAAAAACCTCAAACAGGCTGTTCAAGAAGAGGGGAGACTGGGACTCTAATTGCTCAGGCTGTTGATTCTAAACAGCCAGATCTCTTCGCTGTGGCTGTGTAAACTTAGCTTGGACTTAAGTGGGGTTCTCCAGGGTGAGACATGCCTGGGAGGTGAGGTTGGCCCCTGGCCCTGGGAGCCTCAGGAAAGACACCTGCTGATTTCCTTTATAGTTCTCCTCACAGTCCACAGCCAAGTGCAGATTTCTGCATGCCCTTATTTGTTGGCTTTTTCTTTCCCTCTCTCTCTCCCAGGATTGGAAGTTAAAAGAGTCCCTGGAATTCTCAGATGGATCCAACCCCTAGGAGGGATTCAGAACAAATCTTGTCCTGGTGGCTATAGGGCTGCCAAAGCCACACAAATCGCTGGGAGCAAGGCATGTTCCTTCCCCTGCCTCCCCCAAACGCCTGGAGAGCCTCCTCCTCTTAAGTGAGGACCATCCTCACCTCTTCACTCCCCAGGGTTCTCTCAGGCCCCTTTACCTACAAGTGCTCCTCCACCCCCCCCACCCCCACCCCCCCACCCCCCCCCCCGCTCCACCCTACCGGGCCAGAGCCGGTTTCCCTGCGGTCCAACGCTTTAGGATCCCGGGGGGGGGGGGGGGGGGCACAGAAATGCAGAACTGACACGAAGGGCGGTCGCCTTTGTTTCTTCTTTATTTGCGGATATAATTATGTACCGCACTCTAAATTAGAGATAGATTTTTTTTCTGATATACATTTCATCTTATTCACCACGAGCACACCACACGCACAGTAGAACAGTTCCACAACCTGATAAATTGCACAAGATGAGTTTGGATTCCTGAAAACCGGCAGGCAGGTCAGCCCTGCCTCGGCTTCTCGCCTCCCCGCTTCGCCGTAGGAAATCGCCCACCCGAATCGGATTTCCCGGCCAGCCTTTCCCTCCGCGGGGTTGAAATGTCTCTGGAATGGGAAGCACTCTTGCTTGGAAATGGCTGGACGCTGCAGATTCCGAGCACTGGATGGCTGTGAAATGTCCCCCCAAGGTCAAGTTTCTGCGCCTGCGAGCTGCGCCCCCTCTCCCTCCCTTCCCACCCACTTCAGCGCCAGGGACCGAAGAGTCGGGGTCCCTCCGGGAAGGACGGAAAGCCCGGCCCGTAAATTCGTCCCCGCCTCCCCAGAAACTAGGGTGTTGTGGTAAAGAAAGGACAACAGAAACGCAGACGCGATGGATTGTGGATTCCTATCCCCCTCCCACCCCCATCCCCAATAATCAGGAACTAGGAACCAGAGATGTTTGAAGCTTGGCTTCCCAAGCGCGGCGGCAGGGCGCACAGGGCTGGTGGGGGTGGGTGGGGACGGTGGGAAGAGCGCGGGGGAGCGGGAGCCCCGCGCCCTAGTCCTCCGCGTTGGTTCGGTAGGCCTCGATGAGGCCCTCCAGCGAGTGCACGAAGCCGGACACACTGCAGATGCCACCGATGACGAAGATGGCGACATCGAAGAAGACTTGGTGCCACAGCAGCTTGCGCCAGAGCAGGCGCAGGTGGAAGAGACTGGGCAGCAGGAAGCAGAGGCCGGCGCCCGTGAGACTGCCGGTGAGGCCCATGAGCAGCGCGAAGTGCGGCACGTAGATGGCCATGAGCAGCGTGAAGACCACGAGCGCGCAGCGCAGCGTCAGCCCCCACGACTTGAGGCGCCCGTCGCCGCCGTAGCAAGCGGGGAAGAAGGCGCGGCTGCCTTCCTGGAAGAGCGACTTCTCCAGCACCTCGACCGCGGCGAAGAAGGGCAGCGGGTAGGACAACAGCGCTTTGGCCACCAGGAAGATGTTGACCACGGCGCGGATGGAACCGGGCAGGTTATCCGTGATGACCTCCTTGGTCTCGTCGGCCCAGGTGAGGTAGGCGACCAGCGCGAAGAGGCCTTTGAGCACGCAGGCGGCGATGTGCGTCCAGTTCATCATGCAGTGGAACTCGCTGGGCTGCTGCATGTTGCCCTCCAGCGAAGGCAGGAAGATCTGCGACGTGTAGCTGAACACGATGATGCCAATGGAGATGGGGAACTTCTTGACGTCGATGTAGAACTTGACCTTCTCCCAGGCCCAGTCGCGTGCCCGCGAGAGGCAGTAGGCGATGACCAGGATGTTGATGACGAAGTGGGCCAAAGTGCACAGCAGGCTAAACTTGGACACCGCCTTGAGGTTCTTAAGGAAGGCGCAGGGCAGCAGCACGGCGGTGGCGATGATGGACCAGGACTTCTGCGACACGGGCAGCCCGGGGAAGCTGTTGTACATGAGGTTGCCGCTGACAACCACGTACAGGATGCAAGTCATCACCAGCTCGATGATCTGCGCTACGTTCACCACGCGGCCTCCCAGCGTGGGGAAGCGCGGGGCGCAGCACGCGTTGGCTATGGCTACGTAGGAGTCCCGCACCCGCACCACCTCGCCGTCCTCGTTCTCCTCGTACAAGCATGCGATGAGGATCTTGCCGGTGTAGCAGCACACCACGGCGGCGAAGATGATGAGAAACAACCCCAGGTAGCCGCCGTGCAGGATGGCGTAGGGCAGGCCCAGCACGAACATGCCCTGCGGAGCGGAAAGGCAACCAGACCCGGGAGCTCAGCGGCCGCAGCCCCGCTCCAGGGGACCTGGGGGCGTGGCTTAAGGCAGTAGCCGCAAGGGGGAGCTAAGCGGAGTGAGAACCCGGCGTAAACCACCCGGAGGTTTAGAGGTTAGAGTAGTCTGGATTGGGGGTGCACCGCGGCCTAATGCGGGAAGCCTGGGCGTCGAGTCAGAGATGGAGTGCGCTGAACACCAGAGATGGTGTTCAAGGCCGGATGCTGAGAGGGGAAAGTGCGCTCAAGGCTGGGAGGTGCGGAGGAGGCTGAGTGTGGGAGGGTCAACACACCAGGAGGGAATGCTATATAAGATAATTTGTTAGAGATAAGGGGACAGAGAGGTCGTGGCTAGAGAAGGGTGCTGAGAAAGGTAGAGAGCTGGGCCCAAGTCATTGGGAAGAGAGGGTGCGGGATTTAAGGTGGGGCTGGAATGGGATCCAGGGAAGCTCATAAGAGCCTGTGGCCAACTGGGGAAGAACACGAAAGCGGCTGCGGGAGAGAAAAGAGCTAGGGTAGGGAGGAAGAGAGGCTGAGGGTGCGCGAACGCGAACGCGAAGCAGAAGGAGGCAAGGAGGCGGGAATGTGAGGATGCTCGAAACAGCTTGGGGAGCGGGGATGAGGCCAGAGGCGCCGGGAGTCCTAGGGCTGGCCCCGAGTAGGGTAGCAGAGGCTGAGGCCTGAGGAAGGGGCCGTGAGTGGTAGAGGCTAGCAGGAAAAGGGGCCTCGGGGAGGGGGGGAAAGCGCGAGCCTGTGAGAGTCTAAATGGAGCAAGCGTCAAGCTGTGGACAGAGGCGGGCGGACTACGGAAGGAGGGTTTGGGATCTACAAAGCGAAGAAAAGCTAACGAAATCTAGGGTTCCCGCCGTCTCCAAGCCTCCAGGTCCGCTCCCTGGCCTCCCTCCGGGCCTCCGGAACGGGGCCTTCAAAGATGCCCCTGGCGCAGGCGCGGGGGCCAGGAGGCGGTCGCGGTCCCCTGCCCCGTGGTACCGCTCGGCCGTCTCGCAGGGCCCGGGAGCAGGAGGCGCTTCGGGTCGGACCACTCAGTGGGCAGGGACCTGCGCAGCCTGGGTCCCCAAAGCAACCACGCAGCGGCCTTCTGCTCCCGAGAGATCCACGTTGTGCGCCCCAACGACCGTGAGCTCCGGGGACGCCAGGGGGACCAAGCCACAGGGCCCGGGGGATCCTTGGGTTGAGGCCTCCTCCTCCCCTCCAGCTGCGGCCTGCCTCCCTTTGCCAGCTCCTGGGGTCGTTAGGCAGACTCCAAACCCGCTCCCAGCGGAGTCCTGCGCCGCCTGGTGGGGAGTGGGTCCTTGCGGGTAGGGTGAAGGGGTGGCAGGCCTGGAGACCAGAGGTTGTTAAGAGCATCCAGAGGCGACTTCTCCAGGGTGACCCGCAGAGAAGCTGGTCACCTCTTTGCGGCTTAGCCGGGATTTCGGGTGAAAGGGGTGAGTCTGTGTGCTGCAAGCACGGAGTTACCAGAGACCAATTGTGCTTGTGCGGGTACAAAATTATGTGCTTACTTTTGTGTACACCTGTATGTCCCCAATAGGGCTGCACCTGAGAAGGTGGGCTGGATCCTATTTACATGAATCTGTGCTTGTATGCATGTGTATGTTCAAACAGGTTCGTGCGTGTGTTTGGTATGCACAGGTATGTGCTTGTGTGGGGGTGTATGAAGGTGCGTTTGAGGATAATCTTGTGGTCTATATATAGCTGCATGTCGTGTGCACCTGTGCCCAGCGTTTGTTCTTGTGGGAAGGGGATATATGACCAAGTGAGTCTGTGCCTGTGTCAGGGGAGGAGAGTCCCAGCTCAGCAGTTTCCCTCTCATCTTTCCGTCTGAAAATGCAGCTGTGAATCCATTCCGGAGTCCCCCGCGACACGGTTCCCTCCGATCCTGATTTTCTTTCTTCCTCACCCCTCTCCGCTCCCCTCTTCCTGTTTCCCTCCCGTCTGCAGGGTCTGAGGGCAAGTGCCTCTCAAACCAAACCCCAGCCTAGCAGTCCTGCGGCTGGAGCCGCAGGAGGGAGTGCGGGTCAGGGCGGGAGACATCGATTTGTAGGGTTGTAGATATCCGCCCCCGCCCCAAGGGCTGGGAGGGATGGGGGGGGTGTTGGCGGGATCCTGGGTGCGGAGGGGTTCTCTCGGTGGAGATCGAGATCGCCCCGGGGGGAGGACTCGGCTGAGGGTAGAGCCTGGTGCTCCAGAAAGGGAGGAGGTGGAGGGTGGGGGCCGGCAGAGCAGGGAATCCCGCGCTCACCTGGATAGCGTTGGTCACGTTCCAGCCCGCCTCCCACGCCGTGATCTTGGGTTTGTCGTGGCCCCCAAATTCGCCACCAGCCCCCATAGCCTGGTCTTTGGAGCCCGAGGGCGGCAGGGGCGCGCCTCCGCCGCGCTGGTAATGGATGTCTCCCTCGACGGGCGGTTCGGCGCCCTCGTCGCCGCAGGGCTCACCCTCGGTTTTTAGGATGTCCATCTGCAGGCCCTGACGGTGCTCAAAGTCGAGGTCGTCGCAGTGAGCAAAACCCACCGCTTCCTCGTCGGTGGCCGCCTGGAAACCCATCCTGGCGAACATGCCGCTCACCTTGGCCTGGGACTTGTTGGACACAGTTGTGGCCACATTGGACAGCTTGCTGCGGAGAAGGGTGGCCATGGCGGCGGCGAGGTCCGCGGAAAGGACACAAGGGGCTGGGGACGCGGGGGACGCGCGGCAAGGCGGCGAAGGCCAGGGGGGCGCGAGGCCGCTATCTTCGCTCGCCTTCCCCGCGGCGCCCCGAGGCGCCCTGGCTCATGACCCTCTCGGCTGGCGTTTGAGGCTCGCTCGGAGCCCACCCTGCGGGCGGGCAGCGGGGCTGGCGGAGCGGCGGCGGCGAGTGCACTGCGGAGCTGCCGCGGGGCGCGCGCTGGGCTGCGGAGGGCGGCGGCGGCGGCGGCGTCAGAGCCGCTACGCGAGGCTGGCGCGGCGCCCCCACCCGCGCGCGGCCCAATGCGCTCCCGCCCCTCGGAATCAGGCGGAGGGCGGGCTTTGGGGAAGGGGGAACACCCGGAGGCGGGGGGTGGGGGGGAGGAGGGCGACGAGAAGAGACAAGGGGCTCGGAGGGACTCCTGAGAATTGAGATGGGGGCCGGGGAAGGGCGGCCGCGGGATGGGTGGCACCGAGTGGGAGCGCACACGGGGAAGGGGCTCAGAGGGCACGGTGGGGGCCGGAGTGCTGCATTTCTGGGGGAGGTGCTAAGCTCGGATCTTAGCCCTTCCCACCTCGCCACCGCAGGGAGGGAGGGGGCCGAAGCGTGCTGATTCTCCCGGTCCAGAGGCCGCGACTACCCCCTCCGGAGCCCGAGAGCCTTTCGGCCCCAGAGCCTCTGGCCAAGGACTGGTCTAGACGTCCAGAAAGGCAGCGACAAGTCACCTGTCTCCGGCGGCGCGGGCCGTCTGGGCGTCGATCTGTACCCGTTACGCACACAGACCTGTCCGCAAGCCCCCCTCGAGGGCAGAAGTGTCCGTCCTGGGCCGCTCTCAAGAATGCTCAGCCTGCCCTCGGTCGCCGGGCTGCTTCAGCCCGTCCAGGGGCGCTGCGCTGGAAGCGATTCTGCGGCCCGCTCGCCACCGACCACTCTCAAAATGTGAGCAGAATGGAGGCGAACGGTTGTCCTTTCACCTTCTTTGCGTTTGGGAGCGTGGAAGGAGGCAGGACTTCTTGAAGGCCTCTCTGGACAGCCTCGTGGCGGGTCTGCGAATGTCCACGCCGCGGAGGGGCGCAGCCGGTGTCGCGCGGCGAGGAAAGCAGGGCTCGCGGCTGGCCCCGGGCGCGCAGGTGCGCGGGCGCTCTCCGCGGTGCTGAAACCCCGGACCGGTTCCGTTGAGTGCGGTGCGTGTGTGCGCGCACGAGTAAGAGGGCGACCCGCAGACAAAGACCGATACTGCATCAGATACAGCTACGGGCCGAATCTGAGTGGACTCCGAGGGTGAGATCTGGTAACCGTGTTTATTCTGTAGATGTGTGGTTTCGTGCGCATTTGAGTCTCTGCGTGCGCAGAGCTTGTGTGTTGGATTGTGTGGTTAAGTGTTCCCGACTGGGTTGCCTGCGGTTTTGCCTGTGTGAGCCCTTTTGTGGTTGTGTCTCCCTGAGGGTCCACCGCTCGGTTTGGGTCCCTGCCTGTGTTTCCAGCTGGGCTCCCGCAGGGATTCTTCTTGAGCCTGAGCTGTAAACAGCGGCTTTGCAACCCGGCCTACGTGGAGAACTGGCGGCTGTAACTGGGGTGGGGGTAGGGGTAGGGAGAAACTGAAGCAAAGAAAAAAAAAGGGATCCCCTATTTCCCCCTCTGGAGGTTCTGTCTCTCTGAGAACCCCAGTCTCCCCCTCCCCTGTAGTATTTCTAGATTAGCTCACGCCAGCGCACAAGTAGGGCGGCCTGAGGGCTTTGACCAGCGAGTTGGAGCTGCCAGGACGAGATAGGCTTCCCCCCTACTCCCTCTCCCTCACTCTCAGCACCTCACAGTCTTCCAAAGCAGCTCCTCTAGAGTTAGGGAACCTCCGCCACATTAGACAGAGATGCTCTTGATCCCACCCCAGGTACACCCCCTTAAATTGCCCCAAGAGCCTGCTTTCCAGAAACCAAGACAGAACCACCCCCTCCATAACCTGAAGAATCAGTCTCCCTGCACCAGCTGCTGTGACAAGAAAACCTTTCCATAGAGCCAGACCCCAAACACAGACCCTCCAAGTCATGCTTTGACTCAACAAAGACAACAGAAATCCTTCCTCCTCAAACATAGACCGTCTCCTCCAAAGAGACTTGAAATAGAACTCATCTCCCATTGCCGAGATTTGCCCTATGGAGAGACCGTCCTCCACCCCCATCCCCTAAGGCTGGGGAAGAGAGATCCTTTTCCTACAGACTACTACAGACAAAGATCTTTACCTCCTAATCCTCAGCTGCCACCTTTTCTGTTCGAGGTGAAATTCTTTAGTTCCACACAAGGTGATGTGGGCAGAGACTAGGGGTCCCTAGTGTCTGCCTCTACCCCATACACATCCAGACCTGAAGATGGCCATTGATGCCTTCTTTGACAAGTGAAGTAATGACATATATGTATCAGTTGATCATTGCTGATTTATGTGTAGATTTTATGAGGGTCCAAAATGCTTACCCTCTCTCTCTCTTTTCCCTTATGATGTCCACTGCTATAAGACCCAAGGGGAGCTGTGCAGTTCTTTCATTAGTGAAAAATAGGGTCATTCATTCATTTATTCATTCAGCAAACCTTCTCACTGCCCTACTGCGCATGTGTCTGTCTTCCCACTGTTGTGGAAGCCACCAAGACATGTGAACATGGTCTCTGCCTAGGCTCCCCACCACAATTCTTGGGTTTGTGAAGACATCAGAGAGCATTCAGTCTAATCATCCTTTCTGCGATGCTTAAAACATCCTTAAAGCACTGCTTCTTTTACAGATAAGCACACCCAGGTGTGGCAGTGAAGTGTCCTGCTCAAGGTCACCCAGAGTCTAGAGTAGAGCCAGGCTAGGTCCCAGGAATCCTGATGCTCCTCTGATACCTTCCCTTCCATGACCTTGTCTGTCCTTCCATTTCCTCTTCCTGGTTGTTTGGTATTTGGTGTCCACCACACCATCAAGAGACGAAATTTGAAATTCGAAGCAGACATCCATCCCTCTGGCAGTTAGATGCCAGCAGTTGGAGGAGGAAAGCCTTGTATCCCTCTTTTCTGGCTAATTGGGATAAATGGCTCTTCTCTGGCCAGGGTGGCAAGCTCCCAAGCAGCCCCTCCGCTATTGGAAAATTCTGCTCCCTTGTACTAAAAATTTTGCTCTTAGTGTACTAGCTGTGTGACGTTGGACTACTTACTTAACTTCTCTTACCTTCTACTTCCCCATCACTAAAATATGAAAATAATAATAACAACCTCATTTGGTTTTTGAAGGGATTCAGTGAGTCTTGTATATAAAATGCCTAGCAATGAATGCTCAGTGGCCAGTTCATGATAGCAATTATTCTATCCTTGGTGTCATATAAAATGGCCATATCTGGTTGTTCAGGGAAAAGTGAGTGTACAAGAAAAATCCTGTGATGGGTGTGAAAGTCAGGGTGAGTTGGCATGTGCACTTTTCTGTCTTTGCTTCACCTCTCTGTCCTCACCCCTTCCAGGGAAAGGAATGGACGTCAGGTGTTGGGCAGAGGGAAGGGAACCTGGCAGGCAGCCCCAGGAGGCAAACAGGACAACCTGCCTAGCTGGTAATGAGCTAGGCGTGCTCTAGTGAAGCCATCAGCCTCTAGATTCTCCTGACAGCTCCTCTAGGGGCACCCTCTCGAGAGGAATTTGCAGCATCGAGGCCCCCTGCCTTGAAACACAACGCACACATATACACATACACTCGCATAACAGAGAATGACAAGGCAACTGACAGATGGACAAAGAAATGGATTCAAGCACATTGGCAGATTTACACTGGGCAGCACATACAGGTCAAGGACAGGGCAGCACATAGACACACAGAAGATTTGACCCAAGATTGCCTGCCACACAAAGAAACCAGGACAGACACCCCTTGATCAATGCCCATAGGCACCACCACCCAGATAACAGCCTTGGACACATGGCAGCACGGGACAGGCATATACATAAGATCACACATCCAGATTCATGCTGAGACCCATATTCAGGCACCCCCAGTGCAAGAATATCTCTATAGGATTACTAAAGGGGAAAAGAGGGGAGAACAAAGAGAGGAAAGGGGTGGAAGAGACATAAAAAGGAACATGCCAGAAGAGGGAAGTGGGAGACAGAGGGGGACATGCCCGGCAGAAGCACCAACTAGCAGGGCACAAAAGAGACAGAGATGCTACATACAACCTTCCTCTTGACCCATGCCAGGGACCCAGTCCTGTGACTAAGAAAATGGGAGCTGGGAGGGAGTGTGGGGAGGGAGCACTCCCTGGGAGTGGGGGTGCGGCTCTCCTCTCAGGGCCATACAAGGTCCCACAGTCTTGAGGGGCATGGGGGATCCCAGGACTCCTGCCAAGCCCCAGGAAGTGAGGACAGTATTCTGGATCAACCCTGCAACGTGGGCCCAAATGGAATGCACAGCGCTCTCACAACATGAGATCCGTCTCTGTTCCCCCCGCCTCCCCCCCCTCCCCCCCCCTCTGTTTTTGATGCTTTCAGTACCCAAGGGGTTAAACGCCTGGCAAAGGGAGATGGAAGCCACTGGGGGGGGGGAATAAATAGGGTTAAATAGAACTGGGCTTATCTCCCAGAGCAGGCAGTAACATGGGGGATGGGGCAGGGAGCCCTTGAATTAATGGCCTGGAAAGCCAACATCATGAGCATCATTTCGGGGCTGAATGATCACAGACAGACACCCCCTCCTTCTTTTTCTAGAGCAAGTTCTGTCGTGAGCCTTTTCCTGCTGAGGGGACAGATGCTGGATCTATAAATCATCCTTCCTCCCTCAAGCTGGGGCATTGGTTTTCCTGCAGCTGGAGAAAGCCATGCCTACCTTGCCCAAAACCAGAACTCAATTTCCTGATGCTGTATCTGTGGGCACAAGGGAAGCAGGGGGCAGCAGGGCTGAGGGTTCCAAGCCAGCAGCCCATGCCTGAAACAAAGACCTGATTCTTCCCCTCTTTAGTGTGACAAATCAGGTGGGACCATGGAGGGTGTAAGTGCTGCCTCCAATAGCTCTGGGTAAAACATATTAAAATAATTCATGACAAAATATTAGTGGTTT